CTTCAGAAGTGTGGTGGGACCCACACTCGGGCCCAGCTGATCTCCTCCAGCCAGTATTCCTCCTGCAAATACCAGCCTGGGCTGCAGGGTGCCCTACTGCTCAGGCATACAGCTCTCTCTCCTCACAGCCAAGCAAGATGGAAAGCACTACTGCTTTCCCATGATCCCTCACATAATTTCTGACACTGAATGTGCACACCCCCAACCTCTCTCCCTTTGCGGGACAAATTCTTCTTCCCAGACCAAGTTCCTGAAAAGTCCTTTCAAGTCCTGTTTTTAAGAGCAGCTCAGCTCACTGCACAGATGCAGCTGATATACGTTTTAAAGACAGTCCTTCGTTTCTAGGAGGAAAAGGTCATGAATATCAGTCATTCAAATTCAAAAGGCTGCTTCCCCCTTATCAGGGAGACAAAATGTCACAGGCTGTTCTCTATAGCTAGAGCTTTGCTTTGGAGGTATCCAAGATGCTTAGTGGCATAATGCATACCCCAAAGTGAGGCTAGTCTGATACAAGAATTCCCATGAGCTGAACACCAAAGACCTGCTCATGTCTGCAGTGCGGTACAGATCTGGAGAAGAAGATCCAAGAGAGGTGGGTATAAGGGACCTACCTCAAGTTCTGTCCCTACCAACACTGAGCAGTAATCACTTCTGCTCCTGCTATGCTGACAGGGGCTGCCTCGGTGAAGCAGTACAAAGTTAGCAAGAGTCAGAGAGGTTAAACTGTTCACAGTCAAGCATTGATGAAGACCTCCACTTGAGTCTCCCTTGTGTTTCAGAGCATTCTCTACTTGTAATGAATATTTGTATAGAATAAGTACTTGGCAGATATGATGTCCAAATGGATCAACTTCAAGTTTAAAATTCAGGCTTGCCCAATAGTTTCTCATTCAGCTTCTTGCCTTTTTCTGTGGGGGGAATGACTATGACTTTAGAAAATACGTGGTTGTTCTGGAGAGATGAAAGTAAAGCACAGTGGTAAAGACTGCTAGTGCAACCAGCGTGGGATTCACCTTAGTAAAAATGTAAATGTTAAAATGTAAATCTTAAGCTGTGGAAGCCTGTAAGGTGTCCTGAAATCTTCTGCTTGGTCTGCAGAGTGGCTGCCCTTCATGAGCTGCTGGTGGATATGTCTGTTCACAGTGGTGCTGCTGTAATTTGAGGATGTGAATAAATTACTTCATTTGTCTTTCTTTAGCCTGACCTGAGCTGGGCAACTTGTGATAACCAGATAACATGGATCTTATGCCCGAGATTATGTAGATCTGTGGCCAGGACACTCTTATAAGTGAGTTACCTCTGCCAGGTGAATCACAGAATCACAGAATGACTTGGCTTGGAAGGGACCCCAAGGATAATTAAGTTCCAGCCCCCCTGCCACAGGCAAGACCACCAGCCTCCAGATCTGTTACTAGACCAGGTTGCCCAGAGTCCCCTCCAACCTGGTCTTAGACATCTCCAGGGACAGAGATGAAAGTTTCTGGAACAGCTAAAGGGCAGCAGAATAGGTTATCACTTCATGAGGGGAGAGTGCAATGAGTATGAAATGGGTCAGAGGAGCCATGAGTCTTTTCTGGTCATGGTCCTAGATGCTGGGAACAGCAAAGCCACCCAGGTGGTTTTCTGAAAGAAAAGAATGTGTGAAAAAGTACTGCTGTTGAAATGAAGTGGGAGTAAGATAATAACTGTCTGGGACAGGTTCCTCCATCAGTGAGAGGAGGCATCCCTCAATGCCCTGGTAATGCTTATCTCCCAGAGGACTGAGGAGGCCCAGCAAGGCATCATGTGTGGTCTAATGTCCCTGAGCACTGGCAGAGGCAGGGTGCTGGCAAGGGAAACCCTCTCCTCTTGCCAACCACTGTTACATTTGTCTTTGCTGCTGTAGTTGGAGCCAACTGCTCCTGCTGCTTTCGTGCTTCATCCTTCTGGGCAGCCATTAACCATCTCATTTGCATGATGCTTCCAGCTGAGAGAAGGCAGCATCCTCTGGGACTCCCAGCTCCCAGATATCAAAACATCATGAAATCAAATGGATGAATACAAGGGTGTGGAAAGAAAGGAGTTCTGTCTGTTATGAACTTTGGTTTCTAGTGTGCAAGGATATACACCCTTCTTTTCATCTGAGCACAGGAAAGAACTGAATTACAAACCAACAAATATCTTTCTGTACTGAATTTTTGTTTGAATAAAACTCTACAGCATCCTTAGTATAAGATGCTCTCAGTCTCTTTGCATTTTCCAGGCACTTAAAGACACTGTGAATTACAACGTAATTGAAAAATGAGTCTGTTTCTTAGAAATGAAATGTAACCAATAGCCATGGTCTGCTGAGTTAATAGAGAAGCTTAACATCATTATATCTTTATTAATAACAAGGCCAGTCAGCTATTAGCAAGAGCAGTTCATTCACTGCGTGTCTCTGACACTTTCCAGGTTGCTTTTTTCATGGTAAATGAGTGTTGCTTGTGCCCATTTTCAGATAATTCCCATTAGCGAGATAAATGCACGGGTGAAAGATCCTACTTCTCTCTACCTCTAAATAGGCACTGCTAACAAGGTGATAGTAGATGGTAGATGTAGTATCAATCTGTGACATGAAAATAGGAAGACAAGAGGGGCTCATAGAGAGATTAGTCCTGGTGTAATAGAGCAGACAGAGATCAGAAAGAGGGACCAGCAGCCCCGACAAAGAGGGGTTCAAGCTTTATGTTATTCCACACTTAGCTAATAGAGACTTGCTAATGGAGAGCAGTGCTGGAGGGGCTGGGACATATGGAGACAGCTGAATTCCCTGGATGTTTGTTGTGTTTTGCTTTATTGAAAGCTCTTGGCTAAATCAATATTAGATACATATATTACAGCTGGTCTTTCATTCTGCCCCAGTCTTGTTTTTAATAAACATCTCAGCATTTGAGAGACAAGGCAGACAATATAGCTATATTTCATAGACCAGCTGCACATAATATAATCCTCTTGATAGAGCACTATGAAGGATCCATTCTGTTTTCCTCATCCCCAGCAGATGTGCACTGAACAGATTAGGTAACCTGCCTCAGAAATTCAGAGGTCCACTGAGCTCTAGGCATTGCCAATAAAGAAAAGACATCAGTTTAGTAATGCAATATATGCCCTCAGGGGATAGCTGTTAGTCTGGGCTGCAGGATTTCCTTGTATCTCCTCTTGCTCCATTCACCTCTCCACAGGTACCGTGCATCCTTTAGTGGTCAGCACTGTTGCTTAATCAAATATAACTAAATGAAACTCAGTGTGAAATGTGATGCCTGTTTTAGATCTAAAGAATAGTTTGCATGTTCAAAAGCTTACCTGCTTTTCCCAGCTGTATCAATTCCACTGTTGAAATACATTTCTGCAATCTTTTGCCTTAATTCTATCTATCTATCTGATGAACAGTGTGAAGTCTGGTAGTCCTTAAGGGAAAAAAACTATTTGCTTTCTGATCTAGTACTTGGCAACTCTGCTCACAGCAGGGGGTTGGATTTAGATAATCTTTAAAGTCCCTTCCAACCCAAAACATTCTGGGATTCTCTGAAAAAGTGGATACATCCAACCAAAGTGTGGTGTTCTCTCATGTAAAATACACTGCAATAAGAACTTATTTTTCTTACAAGCCTCCCTAGAAATGGAATATCTAAATCATCCTCTGAAATCAACATTCCCACTACCAAGCAATCTTTCCAGAGCCAACAAGCGTTCAGCCTCTTAATGCTCACTGCAATTTCTAAACACCAGGCAGATACAGCTTTTGTAGTGATGATTAGGGCGGCCTGTGCATCAGACAGTGTTAGTAAATGTTTGTGAAAAATGCTGCTGGATTCACCCCTGTTCCTCAATCATATGCTAGTTATTATTTCAGATATTTTTAGAAAATATTCCCCCCTCCTTTATTTCTCCTAATTATGGAGAAATAGGTGTTTGTGACTGAAATTTACCCTGTACAGGTCCTAGAATGTTAAAGTTTCTGTGTACTGCAGCTGAAAAATACTGCTGACTGGTTGTTAGGCATGCTCATGCATTAAAATACAAAAACTATCTTATAAAAAAATCCTTTTTAAAAAAAAATAAGTTTTACTAGATCAGCCTATACTTCTGTTTATTTTTATTCGTTTTTTTTTTTTTTTGCTAACAGTTACAAAACTAGACTAATACCACTGGTGATGTTAGTTAATTTGAAAATTATTTAAGAGTGGCTTTTAAAAATAATAAAAAACAAACAGATAACCATGCAGTTATACTTTTTATTTCCAGAGGTAAACTTCATAAATGGAGACTGTTTCATTCAAGCATTTGGATAGGTCTGCAAGGACATTTTCAAACTCGGCTTATTGCCTGTGCAGCTGGCGTGCAACATTCAGCCGTGGTGGCTGGCTGCACTGGCCTGGATGTAATCTTGTTTGCGTAGTCAGTCACACACAAAACTGAGAATTACTCTACTGTATGATCAGGGTATTCATTACTTGCTGCATCCCACTTTAAAGGTTTCGTTCACCCAATCAAGAAACAAAGATGACACAGTGTTACACAGCTGAACTGACACAAAATGAATTAACCCAGGAGCTGGATCCTGGGCTACCAAAACTGTCCAGGAAATCATAGCTGGATAATTAGGGAATAGTTCTTAGAAGGAAAAAGAGCTTTATTTGGTCCCAATGAATTTCTGACACATATGCTTGCATGAATACAAATTAAAAGAGTAGCAAGAAGAGAAGAAAGTCACTAATGCATCTGCAACAAGGCAGAGAGGATCCCATGAAAGAAATCTGTGGTATTAGTCAGCACAGTTTGTCCAAAAGGTGGCTGCAGTGGAAATGCTAAGTCATGGATTGAACCAGTGATTGAGCACCTGGTGGGAAGGCAGGGCTGACTCAGGGGAGCTCAGGTGAATGCAATGCAGCTGAGTGACTGGAAGGGATGAAGCCAGGATCCACCTCTTCCCAGACCTCGTTTAAGGTTTGGTAGTGGAGGTGAGGGCATCTGTTGCTGGAGATCCCTGCCTACTTTGGCTCTTCTAAAGGTAAGCCGTTTTTCTTCTTTTGTTTCTGTATCTGTGATTGCTCTAGTTGGGCTTGTTTTCATTTGCTGCAACCTAGGATTGTTCTACTCTGCTATTATTGCTGTATTTTTCTATCATATTTAAGTATTATAGCGGTATATAGTATCATTAGTGTTGGAAAAGACTACTCAGGCTGCCTAGTCCAACTATTAAACTATCCCCACCATACTGCTAACTATATTTCTTCATGCTGTATCCACACATCTGCCTCTCCAGAGGCAATTATACCACCATCTTCCTGGGTAGCCGGTTCTATTGCCCTGCCACTATTTCTGAGAAGAATTTTTTTCTCATATCCAACCTGAAGTTAAACAACAAAAGTTGTTTGTGGACAATTTGATCCCTAGATATTTTGGGATCACACCATGCTTATGGGTCTTCTCATAGATCTATCACATCTTCCCTCAACATGTGTTCAGCAGCATCCTCAATCTGACTCAGTATGTTACACTGGTACAAACCCTGTATGGGGAACTGATCATTAGGTGGTACAGATAGTTGTTCTTATGTGTAGCAGTCCATCTGGTATGGAACGCTCAGGTATCTGTGCTGCTTTTCATAGACTGCATCTGAATGCAATTGCCACTAGAGTGCACAAAACATCAGGCGTGTGCAAAACCTGAGAACAATCTGTCAGAATGTATTTCCTTTTTGCTTTGTGATATTGTAGAATGGCAGTCTTCAACAAATTGATGTTGAAAACAGCAACAAGAACAAAAAGTTGTTAGCATCAAATTTCTACTAACCATAAGTAAATAAAAATCCTGAAGACCCTGGGAAGTTCTCTGAAAAACAAAAGATTCTGCTGAAAGAAAATTCCTATTTGCAGCCTGCTTTAACCAAGTCTTGATTGCTTGTGCTAGTGAATAACTCTGGTGAATGCTTCTCAACACCTCTATACCTGGAAAAGGTATATTGATAAACATTGATGTTTCCCTGACAGAATCCTCCTAATGTTAAGTTACTGTGCTTTGGTTTATTGATATTATTTATTTCTTCTCTATTTTTAGAGAAAACTGTATCATTCCATAGCCAGTTCTCTCTCTTGTAACATTTGTCTTAAGAATTTTCTTAAGACAAGTTCAGCTGCATAAAATGACAAGTATGTATGTTTGGAAGGAGATCTGACAGCATGTGAGTTATTGAGGCCTGAAAGGCTGCCAATTGGGTTTTAATGTTTGAAATGAATATTGCTTATTTCACTTCCAAATAAATCTTTGCAAACGTTCTGGGAGCTGATAGGGTGCTACCTTATTTTGGACAATATTTCTCCTGTTTTCCCTTGCTTGTCGTTATTTATATCTGCTTAATATTTCACCTCTGATATTTGTGGTTTCCATTTATTAGAAAACAGGGAAAGGTTGCTTTCCATGATATCTTTTTCATGTTTCATAAGGTAGGGTCCCAAATGACTGATTTTTGGCAGAGTAAGAAATAGCAAATTCTCTACTGTCACAGTCTGCATTTTATGAGGCTACATTGCTCTGAGCAGCTGCTGCCTAGTGGAGGGATTGCCCTGTTACAGCAATATTGTGTCCTTAAGCAGTTGCAGATAAGCAAATTCACAGCCTTTCTGAGAATGCACCATTGCATTTCCATTGGTAATGAGTAAAACATCTACAATACTTTCCATCTGAAATGAGCTTTACTCTAAGCTAAGGATACCGGCAAGTAAGAAAAAAAAGTCACTTGAGGTGGCCAGCAGCCTCCTGGAAACAGTGTTGATATTTCTGCTGCAGGAATGGGCCTTGTGGCAGAGTCTGGATGGAAACATCCCCTCAAGTCAGTCAGTTTCACATCACATGCTTGTCCCTGTAGATGACTATGGTGTTGTCGTACCTCAGGCACAGAAGGAGGAGTCCCCTAGGGCACAGCTGAACTGCTGGCATACATAAGAAATGTTGGATATGAACATTGAGATCCTGTGCTTACCTGTCACAGATTTATCCTGCATACAGGAATTAATAGGGGAATTAAAAAAATAGCTGGGACATCTTTGTGCTTCTCTGGTCCCAGACTATTCTGGTACAAAAAGCTCCCAAATTGACTTGATTTCCTACAGTAATGTTGGTGTCAGCCAAAGAGCCTGAAGGAAGATAACTCCTATCACTTCCATACTCTCAAAACCCACTTCTACAGAAGTAGGGCTGGATGAATTGAGTAGCAGCAACATTGCTGATTCAAGACCCCACAGGTAATATTTAAGAAAAGGAATTCTGGCATGAGATGTCTTTCCAACTATTTCTCAGTGCTGAAGCAATATAAACCACTCTCGATTCCGTTCTTTTTCCAAAAAATATCTGTGGTGTTTGTTTCAGAAAAGTGGAGTGACCCTACAGCCAAACTTTGGGCTATGCAAACAACTGTCATTGCCCCGCTACCCAAGGATCAGAAGAGGAGAGGTAGCATTAGTTTAATTCATGACCCTTGTGAGCTAAAATGGGACGTAGTAAAGCTGCGTCTGGATTTACATGAACAAACCACCCACTGAAATGCAGTCTTCAAAAATCCTGATTAAAAAGTTGGACTTCCAGCTACAAGCAGCCCTCTCACTCTTTTATTGGAAGAATTTTACATAAATTAAAATTAATGCATTTTTTCAACTAGGTCAGTGGAATGTAAATGTTCTGTTCCAGGGAGGATTATACATCATAATTCAGTTAAGGGATGCACAGCACAGATCAATCCTGCTGCATTTATCAAAGCAGAGCTGTTTGGAGCAGAAAGCAACCAAAGTTTTTCTAACATACACTTCGCTGCAGTATTTGAAGGCTCATGAGGCTGAGGAAGGTATTTGCCTGACTTGAGAGAAACCTCAAAATCATAGAATCATGGAGTTGTGGGGTTGGAAGGGACTAGTGGGGATCAGCTGGTCCAATTTCCTGCTAAAGCAGGTTCCCTGCAGCAGGTTGCACAGGAAAGTGTCCAGGCAGTTCATGAATTTCTCCAGAGACAGAGATTCCACAGCATCTCTGGGCAGTTTGTCCCAGTGCTCTGTTACCCTCACAGAAAAGAGATTTTTCCTCATGTTTTTATGGCCTCATTGTGATTTTCTAGTACCTAAAAGGAGCTTATAAACAAGAGAGAGAGACTGACTTTCTGATTACAATAGCACAAAGGGAGAATGGGTTTTAACTAAAGGAGGGGAGATTCAGCTTAGATATTAAGAGGAAATTCTTTATTCAGAGGGTGGTGAGGAACTAACACTGCCCAGCTTAGCTGCGGATGCCCTATTATCCCTGGAGGCATTCAGGGCCAAGTTGGATGAGGCATTGGGCAGCCTGGTCTGTGGGGGGCAGCCAGCCCATGGCAGGGAGTGGAAACTGGAAGGTCTTTAAGGTCCCTTCCAACTCGCCATTCTATGATTTATGTATCACCCTGGCTTGGCTTTTCTCTTTGGGCATGGAATGCACATAAACACATGCACTGGAATGAATGGCTGCACTGATTTCCAGCCACAACAGGGAGACGCATCAAAGCTAAGCAGGCATGTGGCTGTTCTCAGAACTGGACTGTGGTGGTTATTTTGACAGGCTGGAGAAAAGATGATGTGACTGAGAGTCTGATACAGCAACTAATACAAAATTTTCTCAAGAAGGTAACATCTGTCTTCATGACGAATGACATTGAATTATGCTAATCCCCCTTAGAGCAACCCAATCTTTCTTCTAAAAACAATATCACAAGTAAATCTTCCAGAGTTTCAGACTTTCTTTTATGACCACTGGAACATAATTTCTATGAATGCAGAATGGCCCCAAACAAACTTGTAAATAGTAGGTGGAAGGAAATTAGGCTTTGCTTTTCACAGAATTCCAGTGTATTCTTTCTGTGCCTCATGCTCCACAGCCTTACCCAGAATATATTTTACCATTCCTTATGGTAAGATGTGTTCTAGTGAACAAAATTGAATGTTTGTCTAGTCCATCTCAGATGACAGCCTATGTGGATATTGAGGGAAGGACACAAGGACAGGGAAAGTATTTGTATTTGATTTGTATTTGATGTTCTCTTTGGCAATCAACAGCATCAGAAGTCCTTGAGCTACAGGTTGAAGGTGAATTATTCAGTTTCATCATGGTCCTTTATGGCATGACTTTGTCTAAGTCCTTTTTAAACTTGTTAATACTTTGGCAGCAAGACCCACAGATTAATGTATCACACAGAAAATTCATTCCTTATGGTTTAGATCTAGTGCATGGTAATTTGATTTATTACCCCTAATTCTTGCACTGAAGAAGCAGCGATTAACCTTTTCTTCATTACCTTCTCTATTCTGGTGGTGATTGTATACACTCGAATCATACCCGCTCAGCTTGTTTTCTTTCCAAACTATATTTCCTTCTATAAAAATGCTTCTAGGCCTATGACCATCCTGGCTAACTTTTTTATATCTATCTAAATCCAAAGTTATAAACTTTTGAATAAGGAGAGCAAAATTGCAACTATGCTCAAATGTGCACAAACGGTGTAAACAGTGATTTAACTGCTGCTCTCTGTTCTGATTTATTCAGATTTATATCATTCAGTAATTTCAGCTATTCAGATTACCTTCTGATTATTGCAGAGCAATACGTAAGGTTTTCAGATAATTCATACCTTTGTTTCAGTTACCCAAGATCTTTTGAGTGTTGCTATCCGGAGCCCAGCACTGCAGATGTTTAAGTAGTTTTTTTCCTAAGTGCCTTACATTGCGCCTGTCAATACAGAATTTCATCTGGTACTTCACTGTCAGTTGGTATTATAAGCTCCTTCTGGAACAGTCAGCTTTAGCTTTGATTATTATGAATGATTTTGTATCGTATGTGAACTTCACCCCTAGTTAGTCTCTTTTACATGCAGCTTACAGAGGAAGTGAACAGCATCAGTGCCATCATAAGTCTTTGAAGCGCTCCTGAAGTAAATTTGCCTCCAGTCCAGAGGAAATGATGCTGTATTCTGTTATTTGCACAACTACCATTTCCATTAATCATCTTTGGTCCTTGGGATGGAGGTTTGTATAAACGCTGTTTTGATTGCTCACCAATTTCATATTTGAACTCCTTCAGCACACTTAGTTGAATGCCACCTCATTCTCATGGTCAATTCATCCAGAAGGGTCTGTTTTCTAGAGGATATTGGTACTTCTGTACTATCAAATGTTTCTGATGAGGACCTGTGACATGGCCTTGTCTGAAGCTTAACAATCTCACTATCAAAGCTCCAGTTCTGGGAACAGTGCAGGTACAATGACTTGTTTATCAGAAAATAACAATCTTATCCATCTTCCAGAAAAACCAGTCCAGAAGGGTCCTGTGTCTCTGAGTTTAGCTCTTAGACTAAGCGTGAATATTCCACCAGTTCATACCTGGCAGTTCTCTCAGAATCTCAAATTTGAATTCTGTCCTTTGTAACTGGAAAGATGCTTTGAGTATGTTGCATTCCAAACCTGTAGTGTTGGAATGAGCACTGTACTTTGCATGTAATGCTGCAGAGCAATGTATTTCTGTGAACTATTGTCCAAAAAAAAAAAAAAAAAAAAAAAACACACAAAAAAAACGGGGCACATAGCAAACTCTGCTGCAACCCACCAACACACAGGTGTGGGTCCCAGTTAACAGAAATACTGTGATATTCCAGACAAGTAGAGTGCTAATCTGCTCCAAGTAACCAGCTCTTGTGCTTTTAACAGAAAACTCCTGGGGGAACCGAATTTAGCACTTGTAGAAATCCATGCACAAATCAAATTTGGCTTCAGTGGGAATAATGAGCCCAGAACTGCTGTAGCAAACACCCATTTTGGAGAGACTGACTGATCACTGATGCTTTACTTTAATACTAGTTTTGTGATTTATTCAATTTCTTCACTGCAGTATGTACTGCAGATCCCATTTCAGTCTGAAATACCTAATGCTTTATGGAGTAAGGACTGGGCACTTCTTTTTTGCAGCTTTTAAGAGATTAGCCTATTCACATGCTCATATTTACGTCTGTGTTTTTTAATCATTTTGCAGTGCTCATCGACAGAAGCTATCTGTGTTATTTGGCGCCAGAGTTTTCACTGATCTCAAAATACTTAATTATTTGAGAATTACATAAAGGAAACTATATTTGGCCCTTTTGTTGCTCAGTGCATAGTTGATGCATGTGGAAGCAGGATTTAAACCTCAAGAAGGACCAAACCAAGACCAGGCTAATTTTTACATATTATCTGATTCACCAGGAAGAGAGGCAGTGAAAAGCAGGATGAGCTTTGATCATGTCTAATTACAGAATACATAGATATCACCATTGCCATGACCTTGCAAAAGTGTTGTGTTTTTTTTTTTCCTTCCCAGAAAAACAAAAATTTCCTTAAAGAAACAGCTGTGTCCTGCCTGCAGCCTGAAGAAGAATGGCATTAGTCACATGCAGTTCAACACGTAACACAATTGTAAAGTTCACTCTATGAGACTGACAGGAGCTATTCACATCAGCCCCCTCCACCATCTGCCTGAATGGCAGCGGCTGTGGGGTGGTGACAGCCCCCCTGCCTGCTCCAGTGCTTGGGGACAGACTCTGAGTTGGCCCCATGTGCGGTAAATCGGGGGTTGAAAGCAACGGGAGGATGTCACTCAGGTCAAAGCAGATTGTCCAGAGAAAAAAGTGGGGAGGGAAGAGTCAAAGCTAGTGGGAGTACCAATTTGCTGTTCTCCTGGGGAAAAGGTGTTGGCTCCAATATGGTGAGAAGCAAAGAGAACAGCTGAGTCTGGGGCAAAATCCTGTATCTTCCTCCTTCCTCACTTCCTGACCTTGGATTTAGGGACAGGTTCTGAGTCCAGAGGGCAACCTGCTGGAGGATTGAATGCAGTCAGTGTCCCCTCTTGGTATGCTTCAGGGCCCCTCCTGTAGTCTACAAAGGTCAGACTGGATGAAGGAGTGAGGTTCATTTTCATCCTGTCACCTGTTTTTTCTTGTTTCCAGATGGTGACTTCTCAAAACACAAATTCCTGCTATCAAACCCTGGGGCATGTGGCCCAGCATCCCTAAAATCCTTTCCTCTCCAATAGCAGTAGTTCTTAAGGTCACCAAATTCTTGCAGTATGATGTTAAGCATCATCTCCCACTGGCACATCATTAACATTAATCTCCTTTTTTCTCCTCACCTCTCCAAAACACAATGAACTGAAATCTTTGAATTTCTAAAGAATTTTTTTTTTTTTTTTTTTTTTTTTACAATTTCTAAGCTTTGTTTTTAAGTAAAAATCTGTTTTGGTGTTTTTTTTTGTTTGTTTGTTTGTTTGTTTTTTTGTTTGTTTTTTTTTTTTAAATAAATGGAGGTTGCCTAGTTTTGACTTGCATAAGGAAAAGATGAGAAGAACAGTGCTTGGCATATGGACATATCCCAGACAAACGAATGCTTGTCCCAAATCAGGGAGGGCAAGAAGCTCATTTTAACCCAGCCTGGAAAGTATACTGGCACTGCAGTATGCAGCAGAGTTATACTGACAGCAGAGTGAGCCCTGTGACAATGTTTATTCAGGCTAAGATGGAGAAAAAGTGCTCTTTTTAGGAGAGAAAAAGGCATTTTGTGTAAGCCAGTGCCAGAACAGTGATTTTTGCATCACCTCTATGCTACTCAGATTTTCATTGACTGCTCTTTGCTTTACTGATCATTACAATAGTAGCAGTGATTGGGGTATTTGTGTTATCTCAGCTGCCCAGTGCACTTACTGCACTGCTTCCTCTCTTAATGGTTTGCATTACTGGGTCTGCTCATGTAGTCCTGGAATGATGCTGATGTTGGAATATCTGTGCTGCACGAGTCCCTGAGAGTAGAAATAAGCTGGAAGAGGTTTTGGGGTAGAACTGGCTAAATTGTGATACCAGTTACAATGAGTGACGTTTTTAAAACACTTCTTGGGTATTTCTGTGGAAGAAAATAATTTTTCAGAGTTTCTGCATGTTTGGGAAAAGCATAACTGCATCCTTTTAGTGAATGGGTTTATTCCTGTGCTTCACTTAGAAAAAGGAGTTAGGAAATTTCACATACCAAAAATTCCCAAGAAGACAGCTGTCGGGAGGTGACATGTCAGATATGAAGTGGCTCTCCAGCTGGTCCCTATCTGCATGCTGGGAAGGCATGTGGAGACATTTTTTCAATTGCTGTACTAGTTTGACACGTTCACAGTGGAAAATGATGTATCATTCTTGAGCCTTTGGTTGGTGGACACTTCAAAGTGCACTGGATCCTCAGAGAGGAGTGCCCTATTGTTAATTGTTCCTTTCACATGTACATTGGGATGAACATGGTGAGAGCAGTGAGGAACAAAAGGTCTCCGGTGGTCTCTTAGGGAAAACCCTGTGCAGCTCAACCTGAGTCTGACCTTGAAAGGGTGGGTTGCTCTGCTTCTTAAATCCTGCTTGCTGGTTCATTCCTCTTTAGCTCCCTGCCGTTACCCAGCTGCAGGAGAAAGGGATGCTGGAGCGGCAAGTGTGGTGAGGCATGGGAAGCTGCCACGTGGTGGCCAAGGAGCTGTGACCAAGGCAAGTGGTCCTCCTGGAAGGCACAGGCATAGATGGGCATTTGGAGAGAGCTTCAGTGGTGTGGGAGGAGTGCTGGGTTCTCCATACACACAGCCATAAATTCCCTATCTTTCCTGTAAATCCCCTATAATTGGATGTTGGACACCCAGTATATGACATGAGTTTCTTAGGCCTCTGAGGACATGGTTCATTAACATCCTCAGAAACTCCTTTGCTACCAGGCACCTGTCCCACATCTCTCTTTATCTTCCTTCCCTGGACATACCACTTGAGGATACAGTGTACATGTTGTCCAGGGTGTGGTCAAATGCTCAAACACAGCAGGAAATTTGTTCCTCCAGAGATGTGAAGCCTTGATGTGCATCTTGTCAATTGTGCTAGAAAAAACTTCTCTCTGTAAACTCAGCTGCAGAAAAAGGACCTGTGTCAAGCTACAAAGAGGCCAGGCCCCAGCTAGTGTATCCCAAAATAGATGCTTGAGCAGATGACTGGAAACTCACCCCCACAATCTTACTGGAGAAGATTGCATGGAGACGTGCATCACAATGGTGTGAGGCAGATGATGTGAAGTTAGCTGCACTAGGTCTCCTGGGAAGGAGCTGCTTTTGGAATAGAAACTGTGAGAAGATAAGCCTCAGTGCCTCCAGCACTGTAAGTAAGGGCAAAGCTGCCCCTCACTCTGCTGATATAATCCCGTCTCAGACAGCACAGAGGTGCCTTCAAGGCTTTCTACCTTGCCATCAGATTGCAACCCACTGCAGTAGTGCAAAGGCTCTGTGGCATCTTCTGCTGTGCAGTGTCCTAGCCCAAGGTCTCCCCAGATCTGCAGCACCTGAGTACTGAAATATATGGCTTGGGTTGGACTGGGAGAAATGGTGTGAAAATGGGGTGGCAGCACTGAGCATGCTGGCATAGGAAGACTTGAGGAGTCCTCAGCCCAGCGTACAGTGGTACAGTCTAGATCTTGTCCTTCTCTAAAGAAAGCTGGATTAAAAGAAATAAATGCAAAATATTGCATTTGTCAGCTCTCAGACCTTCAGTGCCTTATGTTAGCAAAGATGATTTTACTTGCAAAATGAGAGATAGCTTGGACTTCAGTCCCTGCTTTCCCAGGGCTGGTAGTCTCTTTCTGGCTGTGGGCATGCTTACCCTGCCACTGTCCCTCTCCTCCCATCCCTGGGGTGTTGCAGGCAGTGGATCCCAGGCTGGTACGTGGGGCAGCAGCCAGCTCCACATCACCCACGTATACCAAAGGCAGCCCTCCTGCTCTCCTATTCCCCTAGCTCCCAGTTTTGCTTTGCTATTAAGTTATTGCTACCCCTCAGGGACAAGCCTGCACGAAGGCAGAGGGCTCACATAGCTATGCATCAGTAAAGGAAGCAGCTCAATTAGCATTTCACACGCCTTTTCTTCCCTCTCTTCTTACCTTCCCTGCAGCGGGCATGCTTTCCCCTTAAAGGATTGTCCTGTTTCTGCTCCTTGCCAGCGTTGGCAGGGTGACAGTAGTCGAGTGTGCAAACTTGTGCTATTGTCCCCAGGCCAGGGGGAGTCATGGAGACCCACTAATATGACACAGGAAAATGTTTGCTGATGGCAATTCTATGGGCTTTGTCTAACTCTTTCTCCATCATGACGACTCGATTTAAGTCTCTAACTGTTTGACTACAGATGCAAGAGTACTATCCAACTCCATCCTTTTGTCCGGGTAGTTTGAATGGGTAATTCAGCTTTTGTGTAACTCAATTGAGGGGGCAAACATAAAGACAAGATTCTTGAGCGCTCAAGCTCCCTTTCCATGGATATCTGCACATCTCTTTAGAGATTTGTTCCTTTCCTACCTTTTTCTGACATCATCCTCCCCTTAAAAAAAAAAAAAGTCTCTGATGGGGAACGGTTAAAAGTAGGCTAGCCCGGTCCCCCGTATTACATTGTCCTGTGCCAATGAAGCATGGTCAGTATCAGCCCACAGACAGCTTCGGGGAGTGCATAGAAAAGGGTGCCTAAACTTTCCTAACTCATCGTCGGCACTTTTCCTTTGGATTGTGCCTTTAAAAAAGAAAGGGCTTGGTAGGGGTGAAGAGGATAGGGGAGAATGGTAGAAATCGCGGGGAAATGATTGTATTTATTAGCTGTCTTTCTGTGGCTGTCCCCATGGTGACAATTTGTGATGGCAAAGAATGTGAGAAGGGGAGGCTGATGCCTGATTGGGATGCTTTGTATTTGGCAAAGTGGCTCCTGATTGGTCTGAGAGAGCCCCGAACTCAGCAGAGTCGATATTCATTCAGCTTGCTCAAGTGCTTGCTCAACTGCCTCCACACACACCGGCTGCCTCCATCGGGCCTGGCAGTATGTAACCTGCCTAACGAGATTAGCAGGAAGGGGCTCTTCTTCACCAGCACCTACCGGAAAGCCCCAGCGTGCCGGGTGAGTGTCCGCGCTTGCTTGCAGGGACACAAGAGTATCTGCCTTGGCTTCTTCTCCCCACCTATGTCTCACCTAATGAGATTAAGTGAGCAGCCCTGTGCCGGAGGCTGAGCTGGGGCTGCAGGTGCATGGCAGCCTGCCTGCACAGAGGTGAGGTGGTGGACAACCTGTATGCTTAGCTGAGAAGTTTGACATCTTCTCTCCACCTCCTGCAGTGCTCTTGATGCTTTTTGAATGCAGGCTTCACACTCTGAGTCTGCCTACCGTGTCTTGCAGATTGGCCAAGGCTTACCTGAAACGGATTATAAACATTTAATGGGAAATTCTGCACAGCTCATCCAGTGAAATGGCATCGGACAGCGAGGTAAAAACCCTGCTGAACTTTGTCAACCTGGCCTCTAGTGACATCAAGGCAGCCCTGGATAAATCTGCTCCCTGCCGTCGGTCGGTGGACCACAGGAAATATTTGCAGAAGCAGCTGAAGCGTTTTTCTCAGAAGTACTCGCGGGTGCCACGGTGCCACCCTGCCAAGCCCCCGGAATGTGGCCCACGCCGTGGAGCAGAGGACAGGGCTCGCAGCTGCCAGCCTGAGGTGCCCGACCCTGGCCCCCTCAGTGCGGCTGCCACTGAGAAGATGCTGCAGGCAGCCGAGGTGGAGGAGAGTCTGGCGGGTGAGCAGGCTGTGCCAGAGCAAAACCCTGAGGTCAACAGGCCAGACCAGGTGCCCATGAGGAAACGACAGCTTCCTGCCTCCTTCTGGGAAGAACCGCGGCCGCCACAGAACCTCCCAGCCAGGGGCTTCCCCACGGGCCCCGAGGGGCTACCAGTCCCCAGGGACCCTCCTCCCTTCGAGGGGAAGAAAAGCAAGAGGAACCAAGACAGTATTGGACCTGAGAGTCATGAGCCTGCCCTGAATGCAGGCGAGAAGGATGCTGCTGGTGTACTCTCAGGCCGGGTGGGTGCCTGGACCTGCTGCCCCTTCCCCTGCCCTGGGCCAGCTGTTTACCAACCCGCAGGAACGCTGCCTCCATCACCTTTCTCAGGGCTAGGGCTGTGGAGGAAGAGCGCTGCCACACTGCCAGCTGAAGCACAGCCCTTCTGCAAGGAGGCAGAGGGCACAGGGCAGAAACTCTACAGGCCTGTGGTTTTGAAACCCATCCCTACCAAGCCTACCATCCCCCCACCGATTTTCAATGTTTTTGGCTACCTTTAGCCAGAGGAAAGGGCCAGAGTGTGTGACACTGGACAGAATAACCCCTTAGAGGGGGTTGAAACACTAGGTTGGGCAGTGGGCACAAGGAGCTGATTGTGTGCGGAAGGAGCTTCCATCCAGAGATGGTGTTGGCCCCTGCACAGGCTGGAGTGAATTAGTAACTGTACAGCCTCCATTCTTCTCTTCCCAGGTAAAAATCAGGAATAAGCCCTATGAATCTGGTGGCATGGCATGTGTGGCAAATCAGACCTTTTTTATGGAAGCACATTGTTGGAGCCATGGCAAGCAGGGCTCTGGGCCACTTGCAATGTTGTTGTAATTGTAACACCTCGGAGAACCTCTTCCATGTGGGAGCATCTTCCCAGGTTGCCCTGCAGGCACAGCACTGAAATGAAATGAATTAAACTCACTGAAACTGTTTTTGTACGTTTAAGTAATTCCGGAGAAGTCAAGATATTCAGGTCACTTCATTTTGCGTGCAAGAGACTGGAAGGACAGTATTTAATGTGGAAACTACATTTGTGAATTGATTTAAGCTCTTCTTGTGTGTAAATACTAAGAGAATTGAAAGAAAAAATAAAGGAAGAAGGGAGGTAATTTTATTCTGGTGGCTCTGCAAATGCAATGTGTTTACTTTTCTCACTGAGTAGATGCAGGTTTAATTTGCAGCTGCTGGTTAGATATGACAGCTGAAATCTCTGCTTATTTAGAGTGATGTAATTCAGATTTAATCCTGAGGCTGGGAAATCAATGAGTGTTAAACTGGTGCAAATGGGAGCAGAGTAAGTTTCTGTTTCATAAATTGTTCCCCATCAACCAAGATAAAAATAAGGTGTTATGCATCAAATACAAAACCATAAAATATGATAGAGAAGTGTTTATAATAGCTTGCCCTCTTTTTTCTCTAGCAGGGATCTTTTCTTTTGTCTGATTTTAAGATACAGTCACAAGACTTGGCTACAAATGATCTGCCTATTGTTTTCTTAATTATTTTGGTGAAATGGCATGGTAAAAGCTAATAGGTGATTGTTTAAGTTAAGCTTCTCTTAAACCCATTGAGAAGGTGTTGCTAAGGCACAGAACATGGGACCTGAAAGGTTTAATATTGTACCTCCATATTCAGTTATACTGGAATAAATCACTGAGATCAAGAGATGTTATAGGGGGAAGGGAGGGAGAGGAAGGACAGAGAATGGGCATCTGTGCCCTCTCTGGGCCTGAACCTGCTCTTGGAGTGAATGGGAGCTTCTCTTGGGACTCGGCAAAAAGTGATCTTGATCTGGTTGGCCCCTGGCTACAGTAGTGCTCCATCACTCCTGGTATCTCTACGAAGAGAAAAACAGGCCGTGCTTCTTTCAAGCACACTGCAGTCATGAAAAAATTATCATCTCAAGCCACCATAGAGTTTAATTTTGGATCTTCTGATGGGACTTGCTGTTATGTAACCAGACTGCAACTGCAGTTAGGATATAAACTACTCTCAGGCTGAAAGTAGTTTATTCTTTCCCCAGAGCTCTCAGTTTAAGCCACTGATGCTTATTTCAATGAAAATAATGGCTGTAGTAGGTTAGTCTTTCATTGTTTCACATATGTATCAAGCATGTACCTGCAACTCTGTGCAAGGTGCAAAGTGGTAAGGAGCTGGTCTAAGAATTCAAGGCATCAGATTTGCTCTTGATCCACGTATGAAGATGTCCTTATGTTTTTGTCTTTTTTGGGAAAAAGAATCCATGAGGAGACAGTAGCCTTCTTTAATTTAGTGAATGGAGAATTGTGGATCCTACATTGCAGAGCTGGAGGCAGGAAATGTTGTATGTAATTAGATGCACTTTCTCACATAAGCAACTCTGTATCACTGTTGTAATCCAGATGAAGCCAGGTGCTGAATCTCTCTCCTGGTAGCCAATGCAATGCACTCTCCTTGGCATTGCTCTTCATGTGGGTGACCCGAGAAGCTCAGGGAATGAACAATGGGTATTGCAGTGACTGCTGTGGACAAGTGTTCCTTCCGGAGTTCAGGGGAGAGATTTGAAAGTGGATTCCACAAGACTGTGGATTTCATCAGTATGGCAAAGTGAAGAGCTTCTGTAGAAATTTTATTTCTGAAGATATTCAGAAAAATAAGAGAGTTAAAATCAAGATTCTACCTTTTAGATACTAAATTTTTGGTTTTTTAGTCTTTTGAAGTGATTATTTGAATATATTTTGCTGCATTTTCGATGTAGCAGCACAGCCTGCTTTTAAACTAAGCTAAAGGATAGAACCAGATTGTTCCTAGTGATCTCCAGTATGCTTATATTTATCAATTTACCATCAGATTCAGGCCAATATTATGTTTTAAAATCCTTACATTCCACTGTGACATAGGGCTTCCTTCCCCAGCACAGGGCAGGAGGTGGCCCTTGAGGCTCTGAGCTGAAGCATCAGTGAAATAAAACATGAATGATCAGAAGCCAGTTGCTAAGTACATTCAAAATCATAGAATGCGGATGTATTAGACATTTCAAAAGGTGTGCAAAGAATAACAACTGTCTCTCTACCAATATTTACTATTCTCTCACCCCTGAGACTGCCACCAGAATTATTAATTGTGCAAGCTTGGATCGATTCAGACTTTTCCTGCCTGTTCCACTGTTTAGTTGTTTAATTTTGCTATTCAGGAGAGCTGATAACACTTTAGAATCTAATCGTTTAATTCATACTTTGTTGGAAAGATGGAAACATAACAATCAAGAGCTGCTGTCTACTACAACAGTGCAAATTTAAACTGTTAAAACTACAATAGCATTCATAAATAATGGTAAATGAAAATATTCCGTATAAAATAAAATAAAAACCAAAATAGTGCACACAAACATAAAGTGAATTGCACATGTTGCAGTAGGATAAAGTACAGTAACCTGGTCATGAAATATTCCTATTGTATATCACAAAAAGTTATAGTCTCTGAAGGAGCTGGAACTATTGATCTGCTTATAAAGCCTAGTTTGCTTGGGATGTTGGGTATTTATCTTATCACAGTTTTAGACAGATGCACTAAATGTTCATCACATTTGTACAGATTCAGCATCACACATTAAACATTGTGCCAGTGACTGGAGTGTAGGAGAGGTAGTTGGCTCCATTTCAGTGCAAATAAATGTAAACTGACTGAGTGAAAGTTTGCAGTAAAGATCAAGCAGAAAGGGCATAATAATGTAATTACTAGGCTCTCCCTCTAACATACATCTCTCCTCAGTTGCTGTGCACACTGTGTCCTTACCCATCTCACAGCTGTGGTATGCTCACATCAGGTCAGTGGCTGTTGCTCAGGACAGACAGCTCAGAGCAACCAGGATATGAGTTTCTCAGCAAAGATGAAGGTCTCTTGGTGGACAGAAGAAATGGACTTTCTGTATTTGCTCCACCCAAGACCAGTTTCATCTTGTTCAAGGACATAAAAAGAAGCTGTTATTCATGAGACTTTTGTGTACATAACGATGTTGGTTCAGAGAAAATTCCCAGTTTGGGATGGTTTATGAAATCTCATCCCTGCAGCTGGTGATTTCAAATCCTTCTGTCAGCTAGCAGTCTCCAGAGCTGACACCACACACCAAACAAATGCTTACTTAAATGGTCTCCACCAGGTCATGCTCAGCTCTATCCACTACCTGCAACTCTGTTATATTACACTTATTTAATTTCAACAATATTTCTTCTGATTTATATAAATGTGAGTAAGACCTGGACCTTCACTGCTCAGGCCCCATTAGCTAAGGGATGCAATAATTCCACAGATGACTTTCCATTTCTCAAACTATCGCTTACAATCGTATAGTCTAATTTTTGGGCAGTTCTTTGTGGAGCTAGGAGTTGTACTCAATGATCCATATGAATCATGATCAACTTGGGATATTCAGTGATTCTATGATTATAATTACAGCTCTTTCCCTGACAATACGGACTCACAAAGGCTGGAGGAGTGCTTCAGAGGGCTGCTTAGCCAGCTCTTCTCTGTATGGCCAGCAGTGGTGGCCAGCTCCTAAATGGTGTCGTGGAGAGGCTCCATTTTCTGAATGGCCCTACTGGGTAGGTGGCACTGTACCTCCAGAGACCTCACTTCTCCTCTAAGAATGGTGGAGTTCACACTTCAGGACAAGGAGGCTGATGGAATTTCAACAGTGGAGGAATTTCATCTTATTTTATAAAGCTTTGAAGATCACAGTTCAGTGAGAAATGAAACTGTTGTTTCCACATTTGGGAAGAGGACAGCTACGGACAGTGCGCTTGCTGTGACCATTTCTGCTTTCATTCACATCCTATGCCATGAGTGCTAAATGCATTTCACACAAAACCATCACAGAATCTGGATTTTTGTGCCCAGATAGGCCCATGTGTGCGCAACACACTTTTAGTGCTGTGTTAAGTTGTGAAACCACACACAAAATCAGTCCAGTGCATTTTCCCTAGTTAAATTTCTATCTCATTTCATAGTATGCAGGCCAAAAAACAAAAACAGATCTGTCAAGTCTCTGGTGGGGAGTCAAAACAATCCCTATTTCACAAGTCTTATGTCACCTAAGGTAAGAATGGGTATGCTTCTAGAATAACATCTGCCAAGACATGATTCCAAAATTAGGCTCTTCCATCCTTACTTAGGCGCCTGATCAGGACCGAAGCATTCATTGAATTTCAGTGGTTCAGCAAGTCACACCTGTCAAGTGAGCTGTAGTCACTGCCAATAACCATTCGTGGGCTCCTCAGCCTCCCCAGCTGTGAGGGAATGTGACTTGTTAAAAACTTCAATAAAAGAATTTCACGGACAATTATAGCGCTTCAGCTGATAGATGGCAAGTTGTTAAGCTGCCATAAATCAGTTGTGTATCTGAGCTGTAAATAGGTGACCTAATTTTCAGAGAAGCTAAGATAATAACTTTAATCAATGTCAAAAGAACTAATAGATACTTCTAAATTCTGAAGTCAAGAAATTCAAGGCTAAATCTTAGGACTTATTCCACCTCAGTAATATCTGACACCAGAGTTATCCCACTGGCTTCAATGTAACTACACCTGGCACAAGAATCTTGGCACTGTTTGGGCACCTGAATAAAGATTTAGAGCTAACTTCTGGGCATTTTTTTTTCCTAAATCTCAAAGTCTTATCATCTTGAAATAACCTCTCTTTTTTTCAATCATAGTATTATTATAGTCACAGAAGTCAAGGAAGTAAGAGAGGCTGAGTTTCATAGGGACAAGATCCTCTAGTGGAACAATAGATAAAGTTCGTGTAGCAGTGTGGCTGTTCCCTGTGTATCTTGCCTTTCTTCCTCATCACTGCCCATGTTCCTCTAGGGCTTTGTTCTGTTCAGACACCAGCTTCATGACAGACCGTAGCTACTGTTTACAGTACAACTACTTCTAATTTACAGAAAAGAAATATATATTTATATGAGTTGCTTTCAAATCCCCAGTATAGAAAATCAGAAAATACAGAAAATTATCTCAAGCAGAATTTCACTAATTTCACTGCCTTCTTATGTAATACAACTTGAACTGTATTTGCTAGGTGTAAATACAGTTCTTACATCCTTCAATAAAGCTTTTCTCAGCTTTTAAAGGAATCTGCACATCTGAGTATAGCTAAAAGTTCTGAGCTTTGAATGTTCAGAAATCAAGTACTCGACTGAGAAAGGTCCAAAAAATTTTTACCAAGACAGTGTCAAACTATCAGAGAATTAGCAACCAGCACACTGAACAGAAATCCAAAACACGGAGTAGAAACTAAAATAAAAATCTCAGTCAGTGAACGAAATGTAGTTGTTTTCCCAAATATTTTGACTCTTAACAGCTTCTGAAATGTGATCACAGCAAGGATGCTAAGCTCCACCAGACCCCAGATCAGTGAGTACCCTCACTGGTACTTGCTTCAGCACTACTCATTTTTCAGCCTTGGCTTTCACTTCTTTTTCTTTGCTAACCAAGCTCTGAAGTGGATCACGTGTGCTTCCTCCTGTAAAACCTGATGTTTAGATGTCCACTCCTTTTTCTTCTCACTCACTCCAGAAGCTTATTTCTTGTAGATTAGTCATTGGAAGGCACTTGACCAATCCAGCAGCTTGGTGTGTGCCACTTCATGCTGATGACTCTGAGTGACACGCCAGGAAGCTGCTGAAAGTCTACCATGCTTGAGGTCACTGTGTGTAATCATGCTGTAAGTATCGAATCAGTCTGTATGGAAGAGGCAATGTGTCAATGAGTTTAATGCGGTTTCTTCCAATCAAGCTTCGTACCTTGACACGACAAAGATGGGCAAGAGGTCGTGGAGGCTCTGAAAGAGAGACATGTCAAAAATGTGAACTGAACAGATTTAAACTTGAGAGGGACATCCATGTCTGTGGCAAGAGGAAAACGGGAGAAGGAGAAGTAAAAATAGAGGCTTTGTCTGCAATGGTGAGGTGGTGTGTCTGCTCATTCATTCCGAGGCATGACATAGGGAAGGAAGTAGGGCTGGAGGATAGGATGCTGTATCCCATGACAGCCTAGCAGTGGGCTTTCTAGGAGGATTTAAGCAAGATGCTTCAGAGTACTCAGCCTCACCACTGAAAATAAATGCAATATATTCTCAGTTTATCTTCATGCTGGACAACTAATTCTGATAATACCTGTGAAAGTCTTTGGATCTTGTGAGAAAGGATATTTTGGGAGAGCCGTGGGTGCTTGCTGTCCTGCTGGTGTCCACCTGTGGAGGTGGTCACCTTGTCTACTTGCCCTCATCTGCCTACATCACAGGCTCAGACAAATGATCCTTCGTGCTCTGGCAAGGCTTATTTCCAGTGGGCCAGATCTACATCTGGGGTAAATTCAACATCACGAAGTCAACATACTCCAGCACTTTCTAGTGCCTAATACTAGGTTGAAAAATTTAATTCAATTTCAGTAGGGAAATCCTACTGAGTTTAGGGGATGGATACTGACTATATGATTCTGCAGAGGTCAGGTTAAAAACCTACAGGGCTTTTCAATAGAAAAAATGAAAATGTAAGAGGAAATGGTGACTGACATTTTGAATCCAACAGTGAGAATATTTGTGGCAGATTCTTTTCTGAGTAACCATACCTGCTTTTTCTTTAATGACAGCCCAGTCCTCATAGCTGTCTATATGCTCCTTGAGCCGGGAACAGAGCTGGACGTTACCCACATAATCCAGGAGAACATCAATAATTGGCCCAGCCCAGCGACTTATCTCTGGAGTAGACACCATATCACAAAACTTCAAGAAAAAAACAAATTTGCAACAGTCAGTGAAAGATGAATGCACCTATAGAAATTATAACAGCAAAACCAACCCTGACTACTTTTGTAGTCTTTCTACCAACTGTAGAGGCAACTTCCAGTTTTACCTCAGAACATTTTTCACTAAAGCCCCATTTAATCGTCCTTATTTAGGTCTGGACCAGGCACAGCCTCCCTTGCCCATAGAGCAAGATGCAGAGCACTCTGAGCTTTAGGATGGAGAACTACGGAGATTCTCAAGCAGTGATCTGACTTTAAGTAGATTCATTTCAAAAAATTTGCCTTCCCACTTTAACCTAAATGCGTGTTATACCAGACAGCTTCATCTATCTCTATTTGGGTGATACACATGTTGAAGATATCTGTGGATTTATCTACATGTGAGCAGTTGAATAAGTTAAGGTGAACTAAATCATGCTGTGCAGATAAGAGCTCAGACACATGGCCAAACACAATTGAACAATGGTCACTTATGCACTATACATCATCTTAGTCACTGAGACTGTCTGTAGGCACCCTCCAAGCCTACCCCAAACAGGAGAGATAATGCACCAGCTTGAATCTCTTTCAGTTTAAGCTCATGTAATCACATATGATCATACATGTATGAGCCCTAAGTCATAATGAATTAAGCCCTTGCATGGATATTCTTATCCAGAAATAAAATATTATCATATCTATGAAGAACAAAACTACAGAAAAGATCTTTTCATTCAAGGTCAAAGCATTCACAGAAGCATGTACTGCTCTTCTGACTTTGCTTCTCTGAGCATTTCCAGAAAAATTAGATATAATGATTTTGGGAAGACCCCAAAATCCAGTGGGCAATCCAGATTTTCCTACCTGAATTGTTCATAGGAAATGTTGTTTGGGATATCTGACATTCTCCAGTGCCTGCTCCTATGCCATTGCCATGCAGTTGCATATACAACATGCAAACTGAGAATCTGCACTACACCTCCAAAGAGTAAATCCACTCTCTCAGAGCTTAAATGAGGATACCGTTTCAGTGTAATAAAGCACTGTATCTTACTGTTCTCTTTTTGACTCCAACTAGAGAGGTTGCCTTTTATTTTCCTTCTCTTCCTCATTCAAACGCTCAATCTAAAAATATATTTTCCAGACTAAAAATGTTCCCGAACAGGTTACAGGAAAAGATACAGAACAAAATGAAGCAGAAGGCAAACCTGCAATAACAGGCCCTGGGACAGTCTCAGGAGCGAAGTAGCTCTGCTTTTGGGACGCACCGCCTGAAGTCTCGGCAGGCCCCTGAATGCCCTCTCGTGGCAGAAAGATGCTTCATTTCTCCCGCTCACGGCTTTGGCACCGCAATTCGGGAACCGGGTACTGAGACAGCAAGCATTTTTCTGCATTCATTTTCATAGGAAATGCTAATTCAGTAGAATCAGTAATTATTTTTAGTTATGTATTTTTCAAACCAACTTCCAATAGCTCATAGTGTCACTGTACAAAGACTAATTCTGATTTATTTTCCTTAAGTAATTTGATACAGGAAGATAAGAAATGTGCATCTTATGCATAGAAAAAGCAGAAGATTCATATGACTCTCTATATTTTTTGGAATACAAACCATATCACAGCCATATCATGAAACTACCCCAGACAAGCCTTTCTTCTGTTAGCCAGAAACCTAGCATTAAGAAGCAAATTTAAAATGATACTACAGGGAAGACACCACTTGTTCTACTCTGTGTGCAGAAACAGTCTCTATATGAAAGACTCAGAGACTCATCAGTTCCTCTATGCACAGGTATAATCTTACACAGCTTGCTTCTGCTGCTAATGTCTCTGACCTTTCAGGTGATGATTCTGTTTTGTGTGTGACCAATTATTTTTTAAGAAATTGAAAATATGGTTATGTGAGATTCAGAGGGAAATATTGCATTTAGCTAAGTAAAAATACCTGTTTCTGTGTGGCTGAATTATCACATAGGGTACATACAAATTCTCTCTCTTTGCCTTGGATTTTCAGCCCTCTTTTACTCCACATCTGAAATCACCATGTTTCCAGAATTAGAGATAATTCAATTTAATGCCAATCATTTCTTTGGCTTAAATAACACTTTCTTCTGAATTAAACAAAAGTACACCTCAGCTCAATAGGAGTCGACTTATTGCTTCCCTAATGCTTTTCCAAAGAGAAAGAGGACTGCCATGCTGAGGTCTTTGTTTTGCTGCAAGTTGAAGGACAGTAAATTTTGACTGGAAGGTCAGATATACTTTAAGATATTTTGGAAGGAGTCAACAAACAGAGATTACACACATGCACACACACACACAAAACAACACCAAAAACAACAAGAAAATGTGCACTCTGCAATTCTGCAAAGTCATTTAGGGGATTAAGAATCCAATTCCAGACAAAGGAAGCAGTAGCTGAGCTTTGGAATGGACTGCAGATATACATGCATAAGACACGGTCATCTAAAATGTGTAATTGGCTTTGAAAATATGAAACCATGGATCGAAATCTCCTGGTCTCTTCTGAAAGCCTCAAATAGTATGGACAGTCATCTAGCTAATGTAATAATTTATGCACTCTCTCCAGGGCTGCTTATCCAGATTTGGAAACAGATGTTTACATTCACTAGTTTACCCTTGTAAGGTGAAGGACTATACAATTTTAATTTAACCTTTAAGCGCTTAGATTTGCAAATAAATTATCAAATAAAACAATAATTACAGGGTTTCTACTGCCCATTTGACCCTGTCTGACAAGAAAATATGTTTCATTTCTGGCACCTCATGTCTAGAGGAAAAGAGTATTGTGGATCTGACAATAAAAACTGTCAAGATGGCTATCATTCATCTGAAATTCAGGGTTGGACATCATCAGCTTTTGCCTGTGCCCACATTGTCACTGAATGTGCAGTTGAAACACTCACTGAATTTTACAAAGCCTTATTTTTATGTAAAAAAAAAGGATCTTCTCTTGCAGGAAAGGTGGGAGAAGAAATATGTGAAGTTATCAAGACACATGGGTGAGAGGTGTTCCCAAAAGTACTAAAGATAGTGTAAGGAGTGCTTACCTGCGTTATGGTTGGTTCTTTGGACAGCTGAGGATCATTAAATCGGTCCTGCCTGTAATTTAAAGCAGGGTGTGGGCAGTTTCCATACTGGCATTGAAAACAGGAAAGAGCATCACAGCCAAGATCCAGGAGGTACTTCAGCAGAGAAAGGTACTTCATTGAAAACATGATGGTAGCTGGAAATGTGGTGGGATGGCTTGAAATGTAGGCATCAATATTTGCTCCATGATCGAGAAGCAGTTTCATTGTCTTCAGGCAACCATGGCGTATGGAGATAAGCAGTGGGTTGATGAGGTCAATGTTAGGGTTGGCTCCAGCTTGCAACAGGAGCTCTGTGGCGTAGATATTGTTGTTAAAAACAGCAAAATAGAGAGGTGTGGTGCGTCTGTCCTCGTAAAGGCAGGCTCGTTCATTGGAGAGGGTGGTGTTCACGTCATAGCCAGCATCAATTAGCTCTTCCAAGATGTCATCATTGTTGCGTTCAGCTGCTAAGTGCAAGGGACTGATGCCACTGCGCTTGACACGGATGCGACTAGTCACAGGAATCAGCATGGAGACAATCCTGTCAAGTGGAGAATCAGTGAGCAACGGTGAGTTCTAGGGGATCTTCTGCAAACCTAGCTGTTTAGTAGTAACTGTAAGAGCCTACTAACTTGAGCATAGGAATGATTTGCACTGAGAAAATCAGTGTCAACTTGAAAACTATCTTCAATTCCCAATGCTTTTACATTGCCAAAAATGTGACAAGTGTTACCCCTCTTTTATGGAGGTGTTTTTTGAAATCATCACCCAGTTTTTTGTGACAATGCCGGCCACAGGGGCAATTACAATGGAAGAAACAAAGCGCTTACTCCTTGCCTATCCTGCTCTAACTCATGAATAGCACAAATGGCAGACACCCAGTCAGGCTTTCCCTGATGTTCTGCACCTCTGCCATCACTCTGTGGACAGCACTCCTCTGGTGCAGATCAGAGGAACTGAATGAGGAAGCAGGGGATCCATCATGATTGCTCTGTGGTGAAGGACTTCATAGGTCACAGCCACAGCAAGAAGCTTGAGACCAGAAAGGGAATGAAACCTCCACTCCTATGGGATTGAGCTGGAATAAGCTACATACTTGGTTTCCAGACCTCCATGTCAGATTTTACAGTTCAATTTCTACTCTGGATTGAGCCCCATACTAGAGGCCCTCTGCACAGCTTTTGGCTTTAGTAAATCTGTGGGACTATCAACATCCATCCCAAATGTTGGGAGCCAGAATGACAATTAAGAAAGGGAAGAAAAAGAAATAAAAATATTTTCCAGGCTGTGTGCCATGTTTTAGCCCAGGGAGGAAAAAAAAAAAAAAGTACAGCCAAGTCCTAAGCTCCAGTAATGAAGGATTGCTATTGGAAAGTGTGATGCAGCCTTAAGCACAGCAACATAAATTGAGCTGTTCTCATTACGTAATCGGAAGTTCAAAATATGATGTGCAAGGCTCCAGCCATCGTAAATCCATGAGTATTTTTATGTCTCCATAGGCATCACTGGAGCTGCATAATCAAGCCCATAGGTTAAACTCTCATTTCCTGCTAATGAAGTTAGATGTTTCAGCTGAGGCATTAGCTTGCTTCTATACAGATAAGGCACCTTAAGAAATAGAATGAGACTAGAAATTGCCAAACCAGAGTCTACCTCCTGCCTATCTGTGAAAACAATTATTTAGCAGTGAGTTAAGCACATCATTTCCTCCTCTTCCTATGCAGAATATATCTGGCAGGCAAGAGCTCTTCTAACATGCAAAGCACATACATAGCGCACCTCTTTTAAGATGCTGTACATGTTCAGCTTGACTGCAATGTCCCTAAAACTTACATTTACATAATGAACTAAGCACAATGTAAACTAGCCTCAGAGAAACCTTTGCCGGTGATGTGCTGAATGATCCTGTGAAAGACTGAGTCTCCACACTCCCAGGAGATGAAAGAAAAGTTGAAGACGCATGACACCTAACAGGGTTATGGTCCCATTTGCATGGTGGACAGCTGATGTTTTCAAGGTTGTTTTACTTCTCATTTTTGAAACAAAGATTTTTTTTTTTTTTTTACATTAAATAAATGTCTTAGGAGAATTAGTGCTTTTCCCCCCCCCCTTTCTTTCTTTTTTCTTTTCTTTTTTCTTTAAGCGTCTTTGGCATCACTACTCTTATAGCACCTTAAGTTTCATCAGGGAGCAGGAGGTAGGTGCTGGTGAGCTGGCAACTTTCCATTATTATCAAATGTTCTGTAAGAGCTGAAATAGCAAGAAGGGAGGAGAGTACTGTGAGGACACCATGCCAAGTGCCAACATTCAGTCATCCCATGATCAACTGTTTGAAGATTTAAGAGTCTGTTTTGTTCTTTCCCTCCAGGATATATACCTCAGTCAGCTCTTCACATCTGAGTTAAAGATGTTCTGCCTCATTTCTGTCTGTGAGGTCCTGAACCTCTCTACAGTGATGGCACACTGAGGCTTTATATCCAAATTCTGCAGTGTCCCACACCTTAGTACAGCCCCTCAGATTTTGCTGGGAGGAAAGTATGGAAATTCTATCAAAGTATAACCCGTCTGTTTTCTTCATCCTTCAAAACAACTTGGTTCAGAAGTGTGGCGTCTCTACCACCACACATTCCTACCTGGAGGGAGGAAGAACGTAGATAAGTGAAGGTAGTCAAGACTGGACAGACAAGGCTGTTGATACTGTCTGTCACAGGGCTGAGACTCATATGCAGTTCTGAAATATTGCTGAGTTACTCCTTACACCTGAAACCTGCTTTTGTGATTTCTATTCATTGGAAATTAAAGGAAGGAGGCAGAGTATCCTTAATATGAATGTGCCAAGAGATGATTGACTTGCATTTACATAATAAATCTGCCTACGCTTCACAAAGTCTTCTTAGTTCCCCAGTTTCAAGGGTGAAGGAATTAAATGACAGCTTACACTTGCCTTAGAGCTGATGAGAGGACCTTTATGAACTTTGTGTCAGTACTGACAAGGTGTCGTTTAAAATAAACAAACACCAAGCAACAAGAATTGACAGTTGAGCCTTGGGATCACATTCTTGGCTTTTTGATGGTAGGGAGATTTTGTGCTCTGGCAAAAAGTTGAAGTGTGGAATTCCAGCAGAATTACGTATTAAATCTTCAGGAATACAAAGAGAGGTCATTTTGAAGGGTGTTATTTTACTGAATACCACTGGAATTAACAATAATCAGCCAATTGGACTATAGTTTCATCATTTAGATAAATATTTGTAAGAGAATATCTTTTTTCTTCCTCATGTACTTCAGTTCACAGCAGTTGGGCAGTTGGGCACAAAAAATTGTGCTCAATCTTTTACAAGTAAACAAACTCAGAGTTTGGGCTGACTTCTTATCCCATGCATGCTGCTGAGTGTTGGCAATAGACATGACCTCCAAATCAGGTTGGCTGTTTCTATCATAACATAGGGATGCTCTCAGATTGCTGAATTTCCATGTAGATTTGTTTACAGATTGGGCTATCTATCTACTGAGGGAAAAAATAGAATCAGAGAACTGGTCCAGATTCTATTTACAGATTGGATTCAGATCAATTTACTATACTGTCAGATTAACTATTTTGGAAGCAAACAATTAGAGATGGGTTTTGTCTCTATCTCATCTAAAATGTGTTTGTTGTCAAAAAACTGTCTTTCTAAGTTAAACCACAGAGAACATTTTGAATCATGCCTATATTAGTCTGTGCAAGATATTTGTGTATGTGCTAGATGTATATAAACCTTTTACATAAATTCACACTGAGCCACCTCCTGAACATATAGCTTTCACAAAGCAGACTTACTCCAATTACTCCAGAAAATAAATATCCTTATGTCTATGAAAATGATTTGAGAAGTGTAATTGGGCTTCCCAAATGGACTCAAATGCTAGGATAAAAGATGCTATAGGAAGGTGTAGTGCTGTCAAAAGATTAATTCCTTAGACGTTGTGAAATGTATGAGAATCTTTTGTAGCAATTTGCAAAAACAGCTGTCTAGAAACAACCTTTGCATTTGGATAACAATTTCTTAAAGGTTTTTGATAGAAACTGTGGTAATGGAGTCCTCCACAGTTACCAAAAGGTTCAGTGACTGCAATTAGAAGTATGATTGTATCCTGAAAAAATAGCTGTGGGCTGTGGCAAGGAGTTTAAAGTGAGTGCTAACTTCATATACAGATGGTTTTTTTCATTCCATCCCAAATATATTTTGTGGAGTTCTTCTTAGCCTGGTTTTAAGATACGTGTGGTTATTTAGCTGTAATAAGTGATTTCTAGGCAAAGCTACTGTGATCTTTCACCCCATATTTCTGCTCACACATCCTATTCATCCTATCCTGCAAACTCATTCTGTCCAGGTTATTGTGATCTCCCTAATTTGTGGTGCTCATAATTGGATCTAGGACATAAAGTCCTTGTGAAAAGGAGAACTTAGGATTTTTACCTAAAAGGTGAAACTAAACGAAACTAAAACTTACTCGCAAATTCCCTTTTTGGCTGCTATGTGAAGAGGTAGGAGGCCATCCTTATTGGCTTTGTTAGCGTCAGCTCCTTGGGACAAAAGAAACTCTACAATATGTACATGTCCATTTTTACAGGCTTCATAAAGAGCAGAAGCACCATCACTGGCTTGAGTGTTTATATCAGCACCTAGGAAGGAAGAAAAAAACAATATAGGACCAAAGGGTCGAATCAGATGGGGGCAACATGCACTGAATGAACACGTAAGTCTCCATAACACTAGAGCTACACCATACGCAGAAAGGTGATGTGAACAAAATCTGATCGTAGCAAAATGAAAATGTTACAGTTATTTTATAGATCTCCAATGGGTTTTGCCACGATGTTAATTTTATGAGGGAGAGTTTACATGGGGAATCATTTTCTCACTGAGAGATTGCTGGGGAAAGTAGAATGATAAAATGATAATGCACTCAAGAAAAGGAGAAATACACTCAGGATAAAACAGTGGGTATCACCCATCAGCTCCCAGTCATGAATCCAGGCTCCATTCATTTGTATTTCATAGATAAACATTTTAAAATGTGCTTGTTCTTTATTCAACATGTACTTTTCTTTAGACACAACAATTCCATAAGTACTTACGTATTTACACTATCTATATCTATTTATCTATCTATATATATGTATAAAATATTCCTGAACAAGACTGGGGATTATATGACTTTAATACATGCTCTCTTAAGTAAATTGCTTTGTGGTTATGTATTTATGACTTATTTATTTAGGCTTATTAATATTGCTTATAATTTCTATATTCAAACTATAAGTGAATTTACACTATTTATACTATATTTTAATTTTAGCACATATCTAGGCTAAAATTGGATTTTATCACAAGACATCTGCATAGGAACCAGAAATAATTCTACTAATCTTTCATTTGAACAAGACTTAGTTCATTTCAAAACTCAGCACCTAAGGACCTAGCTTTTTTTTTTCATAAGGCTTCTATTTAGGGTCCAAGTGGTAAATGTTAGCTGAGAAAGGATGAATTTTTTTAATGAGGTTGTAGTATATTTTTTCTTGTACTCTAGTGGATGCTTGTCTTAATAAACAACAAGCAAAAAATAAACCAAGCCCTAATACTCTTTGACCACAGACAATCTGGAATCTTGATTTTTTTTCTGTGCTAGATATTTAAGGTCTGAAATACTGGGTTTTGACTGCAGTATACTGCAACATGCAATGTACTACGCTGTCCTGAGAAAGGCTGTTTTATATGTATCCTAAATGAGTATGACAGTTCACTGGAGTTTTGCTTCTAAACTCCAATAAAGGAACCAATCAGTCTTCTATCAGATCACGAAAGCTCCCTGCCAAAGAGAATATTTCCTTTTGCTCTCACCCCAAAATGAAACATCTGTGTTGTGTTTGGCCCTTTGAAAATGTTGTAGCTGGAAGCATCAAGAGAATTGCAGTGACAAAGCATAACACAGGACTATGTTATAGTGAAAAAGAAATGAAAAAGAAAACCTTCTTATGATGAACATTGCTCATCGTAAACAATGCAGTGATATAATTTCTGGTATTCTCAGAGGAGTTTTAGAAAGCTTGAAACAATTGAATAGTTTTATTGGATTTTCTCTTGTGTATTTTTCTCAAAATTGAACTTTAAGGAAATCATAATGTCTAAGCTGAAACACAGATCACATTCCAGTGTAATTTCTAAAATTGTAGGCAGTTTGATGGACTAAATGGTCATACAGAACTGCCTTGACAATGTTAGCTGAACAGCAGATTACATTTTTTTGTTGTTGTTGTTCCCTGTCTTTTGTATCTTTCATAGCCATAATAACTGCTTTATAAGTTTTTCATATATTTACTGCCATTTAGCTTTCCTTTCACAAGTGCAGGATCCAATTCTTACCTACACTGAAGTATTAGTCCACTGCAAGGATAAAATATGCTTCAGAATGGTAGTAAAATCTGTGCCCTTATTTACATGACTTGAGCAGTAAAAGGTAGGTTTAGTGTAAATAAAAATCAAATTCACTCTGCCTGTATGTTTGAATACATACACATGAAAGACTGAAATTGCTTCTCCTTGGTGTAAATCCATTAACTATACAATAGGACTTTGTTTTCAGCGGTATTCATTACTCGAGGAGAGCTAACCTTGTCCATTAGTGGCACATGTTTGTGAGCAGATGGGATTGGCTAATGTTCAACTTCTGCCATCTCTTACCACCTACAGTTTTCTTTTATGACTGGATTTAGACTACACGTGCACAGCAATATAGGTTTCAAAAGCTGTAAGGCAATTCAATTAGAGAGCACCATATTATTTTCCAATGTAGGTGGCCTCAAATGGATGCTAAAGAAATGCATGTGTGTAGACTATGCTCTCTAAAAGACCCACACAAACTGCTATCTGGAGCAAAAGGGTTTCAGCAGCTCTACAGGCTAGTACTTATCTACAAAGATAGAAAAGCTGAGACAGGGAAAATTAATGGGACCTTTGAAATATCAAGGATGAAACAAGCAATAGTGTATCAATGGCACAACTCTACTCACCACATTTTGCCAGGTATCTCAGAGCTTCCAACTGCCCACTCTCAGCTGCCACAAATAAAGAAGTGATCCCATAGGTATTTGTAGACTCAATCTTGGCACCTCCTTTCACCAGGATATCCATAATCTCCAGGTCATTTCTGGAGACAGCCTCATGGAGAGCAGTCCATCCTCGATTGCAGCGGTGGTTGGTATCAGCATTGTACTGTACCAGGAGTCTTGCAGCCTCTGCATTCTTGCGCTCACAGGCTGTTTTGAAGAAAAGGGAAGTGAATAGTACAAGCTTATGGAAAGAATCTGGGTGTTCTGGGTATTCCTTTCACAGAGTACAAACAACAGAACACAGATTGGCCACATTGAATAAGCCAATAGATCATCTTATTCAGTACAAGGGGTAATGCTGCTGGCAAAGAACACTTTCTGGGACTTGTACAGGATGCAGCAATGAAGTCAGACTTCATTCTGGGCCTGCAGAAGACTGTGTCATTTGCAGGCATGTGTCAAGTATAGTTCTGAGGAAGATCAAGCCCGGCTTTGTACTGGCTGGACATCACAAAGGGAGATGACAAGGGACAGAATATAAATTATGAAGGAAGAATGTAGGACGGCATGAAGATAGCATGACCTGAACATTCTGTTTGCAAATTCTGAGCAAAGTTACTCTGGACCTTATTGTTCTGAACTACAAGTAAGTTTCTATATAGATAAGAAAATGAGGGAAAAAAAAGAGTCAGCAGGAAAAGATCCTTACTAAATATTAACAAGGGGAGTCTATAGAACTCTGGCAGCCTGCAATTCACAGCTCAGGACCATCCTCAGATAATAGTACTTTCTTGATAATTTTTATTCTATCAGTTTGTTCACTACTCCTTGAAACCCAGTCTGTCAGGCTTCCTATACATTTTTACTGTGGCACCCCAAACCAAAGGCACTTGAAATAAGCAGCTACATTTACAATTAGGTTTTGTTGTACAATGTGCAGACAGGTAGGACAGCATGTATCATAGTAGTTGTTGCTCAGGAAGGCAACAGGGCCAACTTCCCTTAAGGTGAAATGTCTGGATGTGGCACTGAGGGACATGGTTTAGTGGTATGTTGGACTGTGGTTTTCTCCAAACTTAATGATTCTATGATTCTGTGATTCTACGCCTGAGATGAACAAGGCAGGGTCAATACTGTGAGATCTCTCCTGGTGGAGCTCATTATCCTGGAAGCTCTGGACCTCACCTTTGTAGAGGGGAGTTTCTCTGGCCTTGTTAGAGATGTCAGGCTCAGCCCCAGCCTGCAGCAGGGCAAGCAAGCAGTCCAGGTTGCCCCGGCTAGTGGCCAGGAAGAGAGCTGTCTCCTCATTGAGGGTGCGCTGGTCAATCGTGCCAGGATATGCTGTGAAGAGATCATAAGCCCAAAGACATTATGTTATAGAGTTGTACAAATATCTGTAGCACCTTCAATCCTTATGGTTTTAGATGAGCTTTTGTTCATTCTTGCTTTTCAGTAAACAAAGTAAAGAATATACAATGAGTTATTATCAATCAGGTTAATCACTGACTCAGATTAAAATGTTCATCTGTGCCCAGTAATAATGCAGAAAGCTGTTAAGTAACTGCACTTCAGCAGCAGTTCGAAAACAATTTGCAGTAGTTAAACACCTTCAGTCACTGGCAAGGAAGTTCTGGTTTCGATCTTCAGCTAGTGGGACACTGATGCCAGCTGTGGATTCCAAGTAGCTCACAACAGCCAAGATTCAAGCTACAAGGCTTTACTGTGAGAAGTCTGGAGCTTGACAAAATCTATCCAAGCATCACTTTCTCCTGAAGATCCTAACTTTTAAGGCTTCCCTCTGGAAGCCTATCCTCAAAGATAAAGTGAAATTAATATGCAGTCATAGAAGCTGAATAATGCTTCACACATAGTATTGGACAAGGACTAGTATGATACTAATTCTGCTATTTGGCTTACTCATATTCTTCTTCCTTCTTTTGTAATTAGTTTTAATTTCACTGACCTTTTTGCAACAGGCGCAGGCAACCCACTTGGCCATAGTATGCAGCTTCATGGAGGGGTAACCAACCGTCCTTATTAGGTTCAGAAAGGTCTTTTCCTGATTTCATCATGTTGCAAATCTCTTTTTCATCTCCATCCCTGATTGCTGCTACCACAGGGTCAAGTTCTCTTTAAAACAACATTAAAACCTGATTACTGCTTCCTTCATTACTGAGAGGTCTTTTGCAGCAATATCATTTTATCATTTCAACAAAACAATGAACTTCTACAGCTCATATGCTAAGAATTTATACCTAGCTATAGGGCCTCTGGAGATGAAATTTATCTATCTGCTCTAATTAATTATTCATAACAGATCAGAATAATCTTTGTCTGGAGGTGCTGATCTCTTTCCATAGAACATAAGGAAGATGTGGCTGAACTTTGACATAAATATTATTATTTCAGATATCTGTAGTTGAGTAAGTCCAATTCTACATTGTCCATGGTTGTGATAATTACATCACCTTACCATTTGCTGAACCAAATGGCAAGACATTTCCATATATCTCAAAACCAAGTTCAGTTTAGAGAAGAACTGCCCCTTTCCATCACTGTAGATAATTTTAGTTTTGATTTGCAGGTGGCTTAACCTTAAAGAAGAAGTTCTTAGTTAATCTTGTTCTTGTGTTCTAGAGGTACTTCTCATTTCCCTTGAGAAAGTCTGTTTTCAGAAGCTGGCTGAGCCAGACATCTTTTTTGATGTTATCTAAATCTGAGCCTTTTAGGAACTTAGCAAGAGGCTCACTGATAACCTAGAAAAAGCATGGAGTACTGCATGCCACCAAAAAATGAAGCATGATGAGCACCCTGCAGGTGGGCTTCTCTCTGACAAGCCTTTCCTTTGCTAACCTGCATCCTGCACAGACCCAGAGGTGATTTGTGCCTTCCAGAATCAACAGGCTGTCTGGCTGTGCCAAGAGAATGCAGCCACTGCTTCCTTATTTTGAGGCAGCAAATTGCCGAGATCCAGGGCAGTAAATATCCCAAGGCAAAAAGCATTCTTCCTGTTCTAATGGCCACTTGCAAAAAAATCCACATGGGTTATATTTTCAGAGGGAAAATATGTAAGGATGCTGAAAACCTAGGAAAGCCTGTGGTCTGGGGAGGGAAGTGTGTGTCTCAGGAAGAGTATTAGCACTGCCATGGTAGGAATACAATAAGCAATGAAGGCTGTGAATGACAGCAGTAGTGGGAAAGTCCAGAAACTTTGATTATGAGAGGAGATCTAGAATGCCATTGAAGGGTGAGACCAGAGACAGAAAAATATGTGCAACTCAGTATGCATGTGAGTTCCCCAAAAAACACGTCATTGGTACAATCTCTGCATTTACTGCAGGTTGCAGGAGCAGCATGCCAAGGAATAGAGAAAGATACCATTCCTTTGGTGCCACTTGTTCTCTTTTTATATCTGGAAGCAGCAATCTCAGGACAGCAGAGTCACAAAAATAGCTACACTTGAATAGGGGGAAGGTACTGGACAAAGCCAAGTGTGGTACCTGGTAAGATAACAGCTAGAGCACATAGCTGCTATCCTGGACACAGCTGGCCAGAAGGCATACACTTATCTCTTGATAGCTGAAGTGCTGACATCCTGGGGACTCTGCTGCATCTTCATACTACCAAAAGTATCCTGAGGACTACTGCTAAAATTGCTAGCTTCTAAGGGATAAGTAATTTTTATACAGGTGCTTGAAATCCAGCATTTTGCCACAGTCACACATCAGCAATTGGTGTGTTTGGGAGAAAAGGAGGTGGGGATCCTTAGCAATCTCTGGCACAAGGAGGCTGAAGCCATCTGTTGTTTTGTGCAAAAGTTCACGTTACATGGGCTGGGTTGTTCACCACGACCCTGCAACTGGGCACATGATGGAGTTACCAGCACTGAATGAGTCACTGCATGCAAGGTTGGTATGGCAGAAGCCCCTGGGTGGTGCTGGCACACAGCAAATGCAAAGTGAGTCATGTTAGCTGAGGCCTCAGTGAAAGCAGACAGCACATCTTATCGGTGATAGGGTTAAAAATGTGTGAAGAATCAGTTATTATTCTGCTTGAGCCCTCAAATGTTGAATGAAGTAAACTTCTGTTGAGATCCTTGACCTTAAATGATTTCTAAGTAAGAAGAGGGGTTTGCTGGACCAGGCTGTGGATGCTGTAGCCAAGTAAATTTCAGATCAGTATAGAAAGTTTAATGAATCTCCACATGAAATTCTTGTTTTCTGCCTGTCTCATATTTGGCAGTTATAACAAATAACCGACACATTCTGCTGCTTGGATTTCATCAGAGATAGAAAAAAAATAGCATTAGGATGATGGAATGAGTCTGAAGTTCTGATGAAATCTTAACCTTAAGGGCTCATCAAAAGAATTACTGCATTTCAAAGGCCAGTAGCCAAGCTCATAAATACTCATTGCAGAAGAGATGTATGGCAAGGTCAGTTCTGAGTGCTGAAGAGGTTCAGAGGAGCACAGAAGGGTTCAGAAGCTTCTCCTTTTACTGGCAGCCTGATGAGATGCAAGCAGCAGGAAGGAACACTATCTCTCCAGGTGAACTCAGCTATCAGCTGTGACTGCCTCTAAGATTAGGGCCCTAAAATTGCTTTGCCAGCATGCTCTCCTGTGGCTTTCCAGCTACACATCTGCTCTCACAGAGGAGGACTGGTTTATCAGTGTAGTCCCAGCCTTCACTGTGGACCAAGATCTGTTGAACCATGTGATGCAGGAAAAGCCATCAGCCTTCCAGTCATCACACCCAGAAGAGTATGATAAGGTATGCTAGAAGTGCAGAGCACTTCAGTTCATGAGAGGGTGCAATTTTCGTGGTACCAAGGGGAGGTGGTAGATGATGGGGATAAATGGGGACCCCAGGTTCCAGCAGAGAGGCTTTCACAAGTATCAGGGAGGGCAATGTCAGCAGAGAGAGGAGACAGAGCCTGGATCAGCCCAGGTGCAAGGAAAGATGGGGGAGAATGTGAAGAGGGGAGACGGAAGGAAGAGGACTGGTAGAGCAGTAGTCACTGCAACCATGTATCCATGGAGGGTCTTGAATAGAATAAATAGTTCCAAACTGAGAGATAGAAAAGTTAGAAAGGAGTTTTTTTTCTGCAAGGCATAGAAAAATGCTGCTGCAACTCTTTGGTACAGCAGGTGTCTGTATCTACTCTGTCTTGAAAATGGCTGAAATAATCCTGTCATGGTCTGGACACTTCCTCTATACCCAGACACTGGATTGGGCCACCCCCATGCAAATGGGCGTAGCATTCAGCAGCATTTATAAAACATCACTTTGAGAGCCTGGACTTTCCCACCTTGTTTATATACTGTGGTAGAAGATTGCTTTTCACATTTTTCCCCAGAGCTGTCAAATGACCCAGAGTCCCCGGGGATATGTGCACTGGAGGGATGAAGAGTTATGAAGGGAGAAAAGAGAGCAAGGCAGATGTGGGACAGGAGAAGGAGGGGAGGCACTTACATGGGCTGGGCTGTGCTGCAGAGGCTGCCGTCGTACCTTCGCCTGGCTGCCCAGGCTGCCCCTGCGTTGGGTGGCTGAATGCGGCCTCTGGCTGCCAATCTGGAGTGGTGATGACATGAATGAAATGAAGAGAAATACTCTGAATAAGAGAAACAGGTCATGTTGAAGCAGAAACAGAGACACGCATCCGCAGAGGCAGAGAGAGAAAGCGTGCCGGTCAGGGCTTTGAATAAAAGCAGATGGCCACAGCTTGCTCTGTGCTGGATTCAGCTGCTCTCTCAGCTCGAGATTATTTTTGGCCCTCTGAGGAAGCGTCAGGGGATTCAAATGACCATATAAGACTACAGTGAGGTTAACCCTGCTGCCACCACACAGGAAGCAGACATGCGGCAAGGCAACATTCATCACCTCCCCAAGTGTCATGCAAGTAGGTCTGAGCAGGTGCCGGAGGAGGACATGTCTCTACCAAGTGGTTGAAGGGCACAGCAGCACTACAAATCTGGGGCTACAATGCTGCAAAGGCTCTGCTGGGAGGCTGAACGCTGCTGGCATGAGGCAAAGGCAGGGGATGCAGAGAGCAGAAGATGCAGCTTTGTGCTAAAAGCAAGGACTCCTGAGGAGGACAAGACTAACTGGCTGGGGAAGTCCTTATTATGCACAGCACCAGGTCCTCACAGAAGAGCTGACATTGCAAATGCACTGCAATGACCCCGAGAAGCCACTGGATCAGGAGATCAGCTGGATCGGGAGTACACTGTAAAGCATCCCTGTTCTGCAGCTAAGCATGCTTCCAGCTCCTCATATTGCCCCACATTTCCCAGACTTGGGATCCAAGAAGAGCAGCAGAGTTGAGATAAAGGAAGAGGAACAAATCTGCATTTTCTTCAGGATTATTACAAAAATACTTTAAAGGATATTTTTGCATCTTCCTTGTTTATGGGGAGATTTTCCACCCTCTTTCACTCTCTTCTAGCCCTCCTTCCCTTTTCTAACCTCCTTCCCCTTGAGAAATCAGCCTTTAAAGAAAAAAAAAGGAGTAGGATGCCTGCTTTGGCAGCAGGTTTCCACAGTTGCCATGTGGCTACGTGGTGCCTGCATGGCTGGATGCCTGGAGCTGTGCTTGGCAGGGGCGGTGTGCCTGTGACCAGACCTGGACCTGAAATAACCACATCCCCCACAGCATCTAAAAGGTGGCCAGATCACACTGTTTTATATGCTGTTTTTTGGCCTCTCTCCTATGTTTTCCCATAACAAACACTGTGCTCCCTCCCTGGCAAAGCTGCAGCCTGGAGTGCAGCATGGCAGAAGAGAGCTGCTGGTTTCCGCAAGAGCTTCTTAACTTAAGGAAAACACACAGCAGTGCCCCTTTCTGGTTTAATTTATTGCTTAAACCAGACAGCTCCAGGCTGATTTTCATTTCACTGTGAGGGTGTAAATTGTTGACCTCACTGGATTTATAGCAGGCTCTGACTTTTAAACTAATGACAGACTCTCAGACCAAGCGCACGAAGCTGCTTGGCAAAGCTAATTAGAAGGGCACGTGTTTTGATGGAGGAAGCTGGCAGGCAGCACATTTGTTGCTCACTCACCTTTGCCAAGGGTAGAGGTGGTAGGGAGGGTTGTGGCTGTTGGCACGGCTGGGGGCAGCTGCCTCGCTGGGACCCCCTCCCAGTGGCTTTGGGTGGCCCTGGGCTGCTGCCTGGCCTACCGGATCCTCCCCCAGGCTCTGCTGGATGGCCATGTTGATCAGCTCGTCCTCACTCATGCTGCTGTACAGACTATATTCCTCACAGCTTATTGTTTGTCTTTGGCTCTTCGTTGTCATTGTAGCCATTTTTGTCTTTTTTTTTTTTTCTTTTTTTTTTTGTGTCCTGTAAAAGAAAATTATGGTGATCAAAATGTGGAAAATGAACGAAATTCAAACATCTTGTTCTTTGTTCATCTCTGCCTCAGGTGGATCGACCAATAAATCTTTCAGAAATCCTTCAACAGGGAGAGAACATTATCAGTCAAATCTGCACATGAACTTAGTGAACAAACTCCTTCCTATCAAGTACAAACACCTGATGCGCTTGTTGATTAAAAAGGGAAGAGAGCTGCTGCAAGCAAGGCAGGTTCTTATCTACTCCTCCTGGTTGCCACAATTCAAGAGAAAAATAGGTAAAGGAAATCCTCATCAGATTAAAGAGAAACAATTCTGAAGTGAATTTATTTTGGACAACACCAGTGAACATCTTTTTCTGTATGTTTTTTGTTGTTTTATTTCTTGCTCTAATGGCAGAAAGTTATGGGAGAAAATTTGTCTGTCTGCAGGTTTTCTGCAAGGGCAAGTTCACTGCCACTGTAAAGCAACTCAGTAATTGCTTCTGCCCTGTCTGAGGATCACTTTAGCAACATGCAAAGCTATTCTTTGAAGTGACTTTCTTTGTTTCACTCATCTAGCAGAGCAATGTGACGATGTTCAGTTTCACTTCTGATTTTTTCTGTTCACAGAGGAAAGTTCAAGGTCATCAGCCTTAAGATTTAAGGTAAAACCCTCTGAAAACTGGTGTTGAGAGCTGGAAAGGAAAGAAGGGGAAAACACCTGGGAACACTCAGAAATCACAGAATGAGTGCATACTCTCACCATCAAACAGACTCAAAAAAGGCAAATAACCACTGAATTTTCAGCAGTGATAGGGATGTAATAATACCATGCAGTGTGCACAGAAAATGCATACATTATGATGTTCTAGAAGGATCTTCAGATGCCGGAGGCATTCTGGCCATCAGTGTCCATGATACAAGGGCTTATATCATGGGAAATGGTGGAAAATCTTGGCTCTTTAAGATGACAGTCCCAACCTGGGGGAAATAGTAACTCCCCATATGGAGCAGACAGCACTATATTAGGACACTCACACTCACTTCTTTAACCAAAATTAAGAAAAAAAAATGAAACAGAAAAAGAAAATAATACAGAGTTTAAAGCATTACAAGAACTTGAATCAAGACAGAAAAAATTCCACCCTTAGATTTAAGTATTTCACCTCAGAAACTGTGATGTTTGCCACATTCACAGCTCCTTCAGGCTTCAAGCATACACCAGAGGAAGTGGGAAAGGGAAGCCCAGCAGATTTTGGATTAGTGTTATGACTCTTTGCAGGGAAGAATCTATTTTGCAGTCATGAAAACTGCCAAAATTTAACCTTCAGTTCAGATAAATAATGCAATTCATTTTTGTCAGCGTTTGTTTTGTTTTTGTCCAGCCTTTCAAGGCTACCCCAGTGGATCTCAGCTCTACTTTGCTGTCCCAAGGAACAGAGCTCAGGCATCAAAACACTGATAACTCCCATACAAGAGTTGCTGCTGCCCCATGCCCCAACTGCTTTGGTGCCTGTCCTTGGCTGCCCTCTAACCCACAGCTGGCCAAAACCCATGACACAGCCTTGTTTTCCAGCAGCTTCTGCTGCTGCTTGGCTTGTTCAGCTCCTGCCATGCTGGGCAGTATGCTTACAGTCCCACAGCCTAGATACTTACCTAGTAAGTGGTGCTCTGTGGCTGTGTGAAACCCACGGGCTGGAATCAGCGAGCTTGTTTGCAGCATTCAGAGCTGCAGTGCCCAGATGTAGGGGCCTGGCCCAGATGGTGACTCAGAGACTTCAACTAAGCTGTCACTTAAGAGGGCAGGACCTTATCCAAAGCTCCCAATGCAGGTGGTGCACAGTGACTCTTAGGAGGAGGCAAGAGTGGAGCTAAAGTGTTGTTCTCTGAGGGGAACTTGCACTGGAGGAGTTTAGGGCAGAACCCTCTTCTGTATCCTCTCCAGCCCCACCACCAGCATCCTGACTGTACTGCAGTGGCAAACTGGATTAGGTAACCCTCTACAACCCCATTGGATCTAGGTAAAAAAGACTTTTCTGGACATCTTGCTCCTTCTCTTTGTCTTTCCTGCCTTGCTGAGGCACAGTGAAATTCAAGGAACATTTTTGAATTTGGGGATTGTTCCTTTTTCATTCTCTTACTTTTGTACAGGTTAACTGGGACCCATCTACTTGAAGAGGAAAGGAAGAAACTCCCTATGTGTTGGTGATCCTCACTAGTCTAAATATTTTGACAGGAGCCCCATGCAGAAACAACAGTGCTGGCAGCAGCTCCCACTACTGACTCATCGCAGAATGTTGTGGGGCCCAAAATAGAGAAAACTTTCAGTGTTGCTCTTTTGAATGACACAACCTTGGTATGGGTGTCAGGGTCACATGTAGGGCCCACAGCAACTTTCAGGCCCATGCCAGACAGCCAAGCACAGCCTCAGCCATCCTGATCCATATCAGTTCAAGTTGGATTTGAAGCCATTCTCTGTTGAGATTCCTTAGTGGATGGCTGTGAAACCTCAGAGCTCTGATGTGAGTTAATTTCTGTCAGAAGCTGCTGAAATCCAGGAGAGATGTGGCAGCCATACATGTGTGTACCATCTTTTCCCCCTGGGCTGTGCACAGTCACTTGATGCAACCCTGACCACTTGGGCAGCAGTGAAACACCAACTACCACTCTACAAAAGCCCTTGAGAAAAATGAGCTACAGGTGCTACCATCTACAGTACCAAAGGTGCAAAAAAAAGATCAATCTTTCTTACTACAAATACATGAACTAATTCGGTTAAGCAAGATATGGTCAAGGCAGTCTCCCTGAATTCATCTTGGTTCTGCTTGTTTGCTTCCATACTGCCTATTGTAAATTTGAAATATTGGAGCAGGATATAGAAATGAAATGCTGGGTTAATTGTTCCTCTAGCCCGGGTTTTTTTAGGAGGATTTAATGTCAGGTTGTCCTCTGCATTTCTCTGGCAGCCCAAGAGCCTGTCCTCACACGTGAGCAACACATTGCATCACTTGTACTGTGAACCTGATTTTTAAAGCTGTGGTTGTAGTGCCTATGTTAGTAATCAACACCTTGCCTTCAGGTCTGAATTGCCTCATTAGTGATCTGCCTCATTAGAGACACATCACAGGATATTACTGCCTGTGCAACCATTTAATAGCTCAGTCTGACAAGACCTTCTGGATCTAAATTCATCATTATTTCCAGCTCAGGCCTGACCCTGCTCTCCTAACACAAACAACAGCCCCACCTGGTTTGTAACTTTGCTCTCCTAGCTTCAGTTTAATTGACTTGAGTTTAAGTGTAGCTCTCAGGTCTGTTTCATACAGAGGAACTGTGGGTGCAGGTAAAGCCTAGCAGTGGTCTCAGCAGGGAAGTGCTGGGCAGCCATCCTCTGCCTGGCACCATGAGCAGCTGTACGTGGTTCTGGAACCAGAGGTGCTGCTCACAGGGTGACTGCTGAAGCCACACACCTTGTGGTAAAAGCCACAGGCAAACACAATTAGGGTGCTGTTATATTTGTACTGCAGGCTCTGTCAACATCCAGTGTTTGGGAGAATGGGCCTCTGATCCCTGATGCAACATAAATAAACAGTGAGGTTTACAGCTGGCTTTGAACAAGGAGGACTGCACTTTTTGACACTATTAGCATCTGGAACAACTGATCCATATAGACAGCATCTCTTCAGAGAAAAGCTAAGCAAGGCTGCCTGTTCTACTTCATAGAATGTAGATTGTAGAATGGCTTAGGTTGGAAGGGACCCCAAGGATCATCAAGTTCCAACACCCCTGCCACAGGCAGGGCCACCAACCTCCAGATCTGTTACTAGACCAGGTTGCCCAGGGCCCCATCTAACCTGGTCTTGAATACTTCCAGAGATGAGGTATCCACAGCCTCTCTAGGCAGCCCGTTCCAGCATCTCATCACTCTCTCTGTGAAGAGCATCTCCCTGATGTCCAATCTAACCCTTCCCTCCTTGAGCTTAAAACCTTCAGTAGAGCCCAGGCAGTAGAATTATCAGACTTGCTTCTTGCCATCATAGAAGGGTAGCAGGTGAGTGATGAGGTCATCAGGGAGCAGAGCCAGGGACTCTGCCTACCAACACTCTTCATTTATCCCAGTCAACTTGTAACTCTATACAGAATCTCAGCATTTATGGCATAGGGTGTGATAAACTACATCTCTAAAAACAAAATCAAGACTTTGAGAGGCTATAAAAGGGAGAGAAGAGGAATGGTTTGCTTTTTTTGCCTTTTGCAAGGTGTGATTGAGCCCCAGGTTCTGTGGATATCACTCCCTATGTTTGCCTTTACTTCTGGAAGCAGGAGTATACAAAGGGAAGGTAAACACAGTTGGAAGTCTTTCCATAAAACCAAGCCTACGCTTCAGCTCTTACTGCTACATCTTTCAGGCCAGATCTCTGCTGACAATGGAAACTAGACGAATTTACAGCATTTAAAGTGTTCATGTTTTTGCTTCATTTTAGGGCAGTTTCTAACCAAATCTCTGGTATTTTTGAAGTGTATTTGTTAACTACTGCCAGAAGACAAATGATGTTTCAAAAACAGACACATTTTGAATGCCCATCATATCTGTCAGAGCTGGGGCACTAGAAGAACAACACCTCATGCTGTCCAGCTGTGGTAACAGGCAAAAACATTTTGTAACGACAGCTTATGCAAACCGGTCAAGTTACAGCTCTGTGCTGGAGAGCAAAGCCAGGCATCCCAAAGGAATCCTCTGAGCAAACAAGTCCCTCGTTCAGCCCCAGCTGTCAAAACAGGTCACCTATCAGTCTGGCATGTGTTATGATGCCATGAAGTTCTGATTCTGTGCAAATTCTTTACTGGAAATGAATATACCTGCATGCTTTTATTTCTTCTCAGAAAGCATTAATTCATAGAGTAATCACTGCAATATTAACTTTGTGTTGTATCAACCAGAAATTTATAACTGAAAGAAATAATTTGCTGATGTCATCTTTCTTCTTTCACTGTCTTCCATGCTATCATACCTTACAATGTAATTACGACAACAACAGTTATGAGTAAGTTTTCTAAGCAACAAAGATAAAAGCACTACCGATAAGTAGAAGAAAAATGAGGAAATGACAGAGCTACAGTTCTGCTTAACTCCAGTGAGAGTTTTACAGCTTGTGTGGAAAGAACAACAAGAAAAAAATCCAGATCAGTACAACAACAACAACAAAAACAAAACACCCACAAAAGGAAATGACAAACTCAGATGATTTTGTTAGGGTGTTCGGTTACAAACAGTACAAACTGCTATAGGAAGAAGTATTTGCATAAACAGCAAACTGACACTGAAAATGTTAAGTAAATTCAAAACATGCATATTTGTGTTACCTTTTAGTTCTCAAATAAAAGAGTTACGATATTATTGAAATGAATTATCTTCTTGATATAGTCTTAATTCAGAAAATCCTCGTTGGTATTCATCTCCCTGCCTTGTCTGGATGTTTCGATCAACTGCAGGACAGCTTTGAAACTCTCTCACTTTGAAGCCTGGAGTTTATTTCTGGATCACCCCATGATCAGCGAATACAAGCCAAAATATAAGTTGTTCTGAATCTCAGATTTCCTGCTTGAAGATGCACTGCAGAAACTTTTACCCATTATAAAGTTCTTCTTTGTTGCATTAATGCGAGGAACTTCACTTCATCAAGCATCCTGTAGCTAAATGACACAAAGTTGACCTTTCTATTACATCATTATTTATTGTCCCTGACAAGTAGACCATATAAGGACATGTTTCTGGAACCTAAAGAAAGAAAAGAAATTTCCATACAATTTTGAAGTAAAATATGTTGTCCTGTAGAATTTTATTTACTTGGGGAAAAGGAAGTTCAATTTACTTTCACTTTAGCTTCTACTTGTTAAATGAATTAGGCAAACAGTACTGTGCGTGTTATGTTTTACAGTGGCTCATGTATTTTTAAGGTTACAAATTCAAGACTCCAGAATTCCAGAGATGGCAAAAGCAGCTGTGAACTTGTTTCTAGAAATATTTATTAGAGCTTATTACTGGAATAGAACTGCTCTTAAAACACTTAAATGTGGAAGATGTCCCTCTGTCAGACTGCTTGAAGTTGTAATTTTGAAATGATAGACATTGTCCCCAGGTTTGGCAAACTGTCTGAGGAAGAGGTAACCTTTTCCCAAGGGAACTGTCAGGCACATAGAGGAGAGCTGACACTGTTGGATTATCTGAAACACGAGGATAATCCTCAATTTGGGACAGTTACTTTGTATCTGTCCAGCTAATACTGTGAATAAAGTATAACACAGTATAATACAGAATCAAAACAATATCTGTCCTTTTTCGTTGAGCTAGTTCACTAATTCCTGTGGCAAAACACTGCATATAAAGAGAACAAAACCTAGATCACAGCAGGTTGTTTCCTTTCAGAATACCTAGTTGAGCCTCAGCTGTACTTCCCCATCACTGTGTAAACAACCCCATCCATGGCTTAGCAAGAGCAATCTGGAAGGGAACCAATTTAGCAAGGCCGCATCATTTGCTCATATGTGATCTCTTCCCAACCACTATTTTTGCATTTGAGCCTTTCAGGACCTGCATCATTCCTTCTCCACGCCTGACAGAATCTGACACACTCCAGCACAAGATGATGGCCATTACATGACACATTCCCTTTCTCTGCTGCCCACTAAATGGTCTGCCCCTCACCTCAGTGCTAGGCAATTACTTTATCCAAAGAACATTCAGCAGTTACTAAGGCAAAGTAGACCTGGATGACGACAGCACGAGAGTGAAACTCCATCCTAACAGCATGACAACTGATGCCCTATGACTTTTAAACAAAATCCAGCACTTTTTTTCCTGATACTACTTTAAGATTGTCTTGGTTTAAAACCAAGATTGAGTATCTCCCAGATTTAACCCTTCTGCCTGCCTTTGGGCAGGCTCTCATCAGATCCACACCCTTGACATTCCTACGGCCTGCATGATGACTCACTGAACTAAAGAAAAAATGTTGATACTTCACTGTAGTTTCACATTTGGCAAAGGCATGGGTGCCTGAATCTTCCAGTATGAGATGTTTGATTAGAAAAAAGACATTGGGCTCAAGGTCTCAGCAGCTGTTCACACCTAGCACTCTGCAGTTCTCTCTCTCATGCTCCTGGGTTTCCTTGTAATGTCCAGTGCACTCTTCTCTCACAGAATCTGTGTGAAACATACTCTGAATCCTAGAACAAATAAGAAATGATGACTATGTCACCATAAAGTACGGTCCATGTCTTGCTCTTCTTCAGCTTTAACCAGATCAAACCCTTCAAGTTGTGGGGCACATCAGATACTTTGTGTATGTGCAGAGAGACATGCAGGACATACAGCATGAAGCTGGGTGTCTCTTATACCTACCCAGCAAGGAACAGGGCTGTAGCCACTTCCCCACTACTTGTTTTAGCAAGCCAAAAACCACAGGCTGGTAGGTCATGGATCAGGACTTCCAGATCTAGCTGACAAGTGAGACAGAAGCTCCAGCATGGAGGAACAACCATACAGGCACTTCTTGCATGCATGTCTCGGTGCATGATTCTGGACAGACCAGGCAGCATTAAAGTGCCTATTGCTGGAGGAACGCAGCACTGTGGGCAACAGGGATTTGATGTATTTGAAGCACCTATGAATGCTGCTGGACCCTTTTCCAATAAAATCACAGGACTCTGCTTCAGAAGTTCTATTTTCAGATACCATTAACTCCCCGTTTTGTCTTTAGTAAATCATTTAAGTCCTCTGAGTGTCTGAGTCATTACTGGAGTGGAAACAGTCAAACATACTAACTTTAGAGATGAGTCCAGAAATTCTCACAAAGAGGAAGCCAGTGAGACCACCTATATGGATAGAGATTGACAAATAGAATTTTATTTAATCGCTACCCTACCTGTGAAATACTTCAATATAATCAGAAGAAGAGCTCACAGAAGTTTGAAATATTGCAACAGAAATATTACTATACAGTCATGAAATCATAGATTTGGAAGTTGATATTTTTTTCAATAAAACAACGTTGTGTCTTTATTACAACATATCCAAAACATAATATTAACTATCATTATGATTTATTAGCATTGCAGCAGATTTGTTAATATTTCAACTGGGACTCACTTGATTATGAATCTGCATTTTCAGCTTAACCCCAAGACATTCCAGAGATGACAAAACATCACCTGCAAAAATAAATATATAAAAGCATGCCATTTTTCGGGACACATTTCAAACTCAGACATTGCATATTAGTTCTGTTTGCTTTCTCTTTAAATAGAAAATGGTGGAAATAGCCAACTCATGCTGACGGGGGAGTCAGCTGGGGTCTCACAAACAGGGAGCAATAAAAAAGAGTTCAATCTGAGAGAAGACAAAGAACAACCATGTAAAAATAGAAAATGACTAAATGAACAACAATGTTCTCTTTTTCTTCATGTTTCCTAAAAATAGTCAGCAGAAATCAGGTTAGGAAAGCACATTTAATATGTTATATTTTTGGATATTTTCACAGCCCCCACCTCCATTAGTCGACCTAATTCTTCTAAGAGGTGCTTTGTACTAAAACAAGGATTAATGAAGCAACTAAAGTTGGTGAAAAAACAAAGTTCATTTGTCCATCTGAGGAGATCAACAGTCCTGTTAGACTCATTCTGTGTGCAAAGCTGGCAGTACATTTGGCACCACCTGAAGAAATGCAGGTAAGAACGGACATCAATACTAATTATCCTCATCCTTAGCCTGTAACTTCCAACAATGACCAACTCTGCTGCACCCGAACACTTGACTCATGGATGTCTGCTCTGAGAGCAAGAAAATATTGACTAGTTGTGACAAAAAGAATCCCTGGGCAGAGAGCATGGTTCCAGTAGATAACCGTTTTGTTTCTGCCTGTCATTCATACCTAACGTTTTGAGCACGTGAAGGTAATAACTGTGGAATGCACACAGATATGATCCAGCCAAGGAGACCTCTTGCATTATGCAGTTGAATAGCAGCTACCTGATTAGGTTCCTGTTAACGTAACTTTCTTGTGTTTAAAGCAAAGCAATCCCCACAATACTTTGCCAAAGAACAGCATAAAGAACAGCGTACTGATACATGTGCTTGGTATTCTGGGACCTTTCCTTGTCCTGGATAACTTGTCTGAGCTTTTTCACTGTAGAAAGGCAGTGAGGTATTTTGGGTAGTGTATTTCATTGTGATTACAGACCTAGGATTCACATTTCTATATCTTTCACAATCATATTCCAGAAAGCAGAGCTTTGCTTTTCATTCACTGTTGCCATGCTGTGCTTCCATCCGACACTCCCAAAGATTAAGTGCAAATGCCAGAAGCAAAAGCAGCTTCTCCATACCTCCTGCTATACAACCCATGTGCAAATAACAAGGAGACAGAAACTCCCACGGGGGAAGACAGTTTCAATTTCAATTTCCTTTGCAAGAACTAATGATTGCTTTGGCCACAGTACCTTGAGAGAGACAAGGAGACAGAGGCGCTTGTATGGGAAAAGGTGCAAAGTGCCACACGTGCCCAGGGATAGGGAATACAATATATAATATTCCTTGCTGACTCTGCTGCCTTAGTACTTCACTGCTGCAAATATTTACTCTACTAAGAACATAACTGCCTTTTCAGGGGGGGAATTAACCCACTCCAATGGCTCCTAACTCATTCTGTAAGTCAGGGTGCAATTTTGCGCAGTGTACAACTGCCTCTTCGCAGAAAGCTTCAACGTCTCAGAAAATAAAAACAGAGCCATCAATTCTCTAGAAACATGATATGATCACCAAGGGGAACATGCCATACTAGGGCCACAAGCCCCATTTGAGATATCTGATGGCTCAGCTCAGAAACTGCCCTGACAGAGAGCTTTGGAAGAACTAAGCCATCGCAGCCACTGCCTCTCTGCAAATGTCATCCTAAGGTCACATCCGCTGACTCAAACTGAAAGAGCAATCAGTCAGAAGAGAACAAGAAATCCTCATACAGTGTGAATGCAACCTGAAGACTACACAAACAAATACATATTCCTTGGAGGAAGGGGGAAAGCACAAACATTATCTTTTAGTTAACCTTTGCTGTGCAAATATCATTTATTTTATGTTCTAATGCATGTTAGTAAGAATTCTAATGAAAGTCTTCTCTTTTTCTTGACCTTTACAAAATCCATAAAATTCAGAGATGTTGCTGCAACCCCTTTGCTCTGAGGCTTTTGCAGAGCAACAAGAGGACATAATGGCAACGTGAAGCACAAGCAAGGTCCTGCAATTACAATGACTCTGAAACAGCAATGGTGGAAAAGTCAAAGAGATTTTGATGGGAAACTAGCTTTTCTACATTTTTTTTAAAGTAATATGTGGAAATATACAGTGGGAGCTTACCTCTCCAATTTATCCCATAGACTAATTTCAGAACAAAATCTCCCTCTGCTCATTCATGGTTTTTGATGTATTTTTTCTGGTAGCATCTGATTCCTTGAAGGCTGATGGTTTCCAACTACTGTGACTGCTGTAAATGGACTGAGAACAGGGTAGATACAGATCTGCCTATATTTTACTGTTCTTACACATAAAAATCCCTTGAAAACCAGAAGATGGCCCTATCCAAAATCAACAGCTTGCAAAATATACATACCTTTCAGCATGGTGAAGTTCAAGGAATTCATTTATGACTTTTCATGTGCCAGGCTACTGGAGTGGAGGCAGAGTGAGACCCTGCTGTGCACAGCTGCAGGAGAAGTGGGAAGCCTTTGTTCTTTAGGATGAGCTCCAGCTTGGACTGGGACAAACAATGGCCACCACCACCATCAGGCTCAGCAACTCGAAGCAAGGGACAAGCTGTCATCCCTACTGATTCCTGCCATGTAACACTGGCCTGCTCCCCTGCACAAGCTGATCTAGCAGGGGAATCATTTCTTGCTTTGCAGATGAAAGCAGCCAAAGAACCAGAATAGACTGTGCTAAAGGACACTGCACCACGATCTCTATTTACCTAGTGCTGTTTCTGAAGTGCAGTCAAATTCAAATGTAATAATTACAGTGTTTAAAGCTCTGATAAAATTATCTCTCCTTTATACTGTCATTGAAATAGCTTAGCTATCCTACACTGACTGCTTTGAGCACACGTGAGAGGTTTCTTCTTCCTTTAAATTCAAATCACAATGCAACAGGTTTGTTTTGCAGGCTTGACATTTAATTATTTGCCCTACTTCTTTCAGGTTAAATTTAGAGCTAAATTTAGGACAAGTGTCTGGACAGAATGTCATATGACACCAGACTATATCTCTTGCACAACATGCCATCCAAACATGTAACATTCAATTCAGTTAAAAATAACTGTACACTTACCTAATTCAGCAGGCTGCTGGACTCTGCTGAGGTGGCAAGCAGACAGGGCAATAAGAAGTCACTAGTATTTTGAGGGAAGAGACATCACTACAGGCAAGAAGACAGAATAAATCCTTTCCTGTCTTAGCTCTCTTTTCAAGCAGTATTCACTGTCCCGCAGTCACTTATGTATTACAGACTAGGTTATCTTAAGAAGGGTGAGAGCAAATAAATTACAGTGGAATTATGGAGTTCTTTTCCCACCAAAGTGAGAGATCTTTGATTCCTCAAGAGCAGTGTTAACTGCCAGTTCAAACTCCCACCCTAAGCATAGAAGAGGGCAGATCCCTTCACCATTAAGAAATGTCTTCCTAGTGCATAGTCTCCCAAAACACAATAGGGCTTGGTAATGCCACTCAGCACAGCTGAGGCAGGGAGACCCAGATCTCCAACTTAAGCATGATCAGTTCTCGAGTTGTGTTTGGAGATCACAGCTCCAGGGAAAACCTGAGCATGTGATAAAAATATACTGTGGAAAATCTGTTTAATACCTTTTCAGATAAGATGAGAGCAAGCATGACAGGAGAGAAGAATGCTGGAGTAAGGAGCTGAATTTCAGCCGAGTTGCCTTGTGGTTGATAAGAGCTGTGAAGACATGTAGGATGCATTTTCTCCACTCAAGCTGCTGTTGTGCTTCGGTCCTTGGGCATTTATGTAGTCCCACCCCACCAATAATGTCAGGTTAAGGTGTTTTTTTTCTGAGTGTTGGAGTTACAGGCATTGCTGTCTATGGGTGATGGCCACAAATGACCTTTACCAATGTGCACTGGGAGTGCCAAGGGCAGCTTGCACTGCTGCCCAGCAAGCAGGGAAATGGTGTGCTCCTGTGGGTGCTGAAAATGGAGAGGATTTAGTTTCAAGGGATTAGAAATGGGATACAAGCAGCTCCCCGGGTCACTAGGCCAAAGCTGGTCCAGCCCAGCCAGAAGAGATTTATGCCCAGCAGTTGCCCGGTAGTTGATGTGTATGTGTGGACTTCTGGGCTGCGTGGATGTGGTCCTGGGCAGCATGCTCTGGGTGGCCCTACTTGAGCTGGGGGTTGGACTCGGTGGACCCAGAGGTCCCTTCTGAACTCAGTCATTCTTTGATTCTGTGATGGGCTGCAGAAGATGTTGTCCACTCTTCTCAGCCAAAAGCTCTCATCCCCAGGTGGAACAGTTTCTTGGGACCAGAGTGAGGCATAGTACCATGCCGGTGTAGGAATGTCTGTCTATCCACTTTGTGCTTAATCTCCAGCACTTTGCTATTCAGGGCATGCCAGCACAGCACCTTTTAGAAGTGCTTAAACCATGTTTACTATTTTTTCCCTTAACTAGTGATTTTCTTTTGCCCTGAGATTGTGAGACAAATTCAGACATCTTATCCTCATGCTCTGTATCTGTGTATGTAGGTACAGCATGGTGTTAAAGACAATTTTATTGAAATACTGCAAGGACTGAGTCATTTCTTACTTGGCACTTCCTATTTTTCATGACAATAGCTTTGTTTTCTCTGCTGTAACTGTACATCATGTCTGCCACTTTTGTTATTTTCACAGTTACATGCCATAGATAAATATCTGACTTAATAATATTTTCCTGTGCTCAGTACCTAAAAATCAATCTGGCTAGTGGTCTGCTTAACTAGACCCAATGGCCTGACTGACAGTGGCAGTTTAGGAACATTTGCAAAAAACTTTTGTTTCTCTCAGAGAAGACTCACAGAGACTGGTTTAAATCTTCAAAACTTGGAACTCTGCAGCCTTTCCAAATGTTTTTTTTTTTTTTTAATTTTTATTTTACTATTTAGTTCTGAGCAACTCTGTTTTCATGTAGCACTGAGCCCAAAACTGAATTTTGCTTAATACTTTGTCTCCATGATATTGTGAAGTGATGACCCAGAGACCCAAATAGCACTAGGGCTATAAAACTTGTGACAACCTCTTACTTTGTACCAGCAGAGACCTGCACATGACTTTAAAAACCAGGAGCAGGGTCCTCCATTTCTGATGGATGCTGATACCATGACCAGACATTAAAGGAAGCAGGGCTGCATACACTATGTTAGCTTTTGACACACTGGGGAACAGAAATGACACTGAGGCATGTTTTGAACATCAAGCTCAAGTTGCACAGCAAACTTTGTGGAAAGCTTAAAAAAAAAAAACAAAAAAAACCAGCCTTATACATGAATCAAAACTTGATTTTTGCAGACTGCAGCCCTTGGTTAATTTGAAGGCATACTCATCAGGGTGTGCAACACAGAACACCACAGGATGTGTTTGCTCAGAGTCAAAATACTTGCATCATAAAAAGGCAATCAAAAGTCAGTGTAAATTTTCACCAGTGTTAAGTCTCTGGCTATTCATTTACTGCTCATAATCATTTTATTTGCTTTTAACCTACTAAAAAAGAAAAGGAGAAAAAGATTGACTAGAAATTGCTAGAGCAATAGCAGTTGGATGGTACTGTCCTGATTACTGATCTCTGCAGCCACAATCTATAGCAAATATTTGGCCTCCTGTTCACATTTTTCCTTCTCTGCATCACATCTCTATAACAAAGTATGAGAGCCAACGCTCGTCTGGTGGTATGCTCAGGTAAGCTGTTCTAGGACCAGAGAAACAGATAGTGTTACTGTATAGTAAGTGAGGATACAGCAAACAGTCAAATCTCACTGAGGTCTCACAGAAAGAAAGAATGGATCAACCAGGTATCACCAGTCTTTTCTTTCCTCAGTATAGTTATACTTCATTTTTTATAACAAATTATTATAACCTTGTCTGACTCTCCTATCACTCATGCTTGAATAAGAGCTCATTCTCTCTCTTCACATATGTATGTGCATATTAAACATATTTACTAGAAATCTGCTATGCTTGGGTGAAATCCCTTTCTTGAGATACTAATCACAGGTAACAATTACTGTAGCAAGAGAGTAGTTGGCTTAAATATTGCAGAAGGTGTGAACTTTCACCCAGCTTTTTTTCTAATTAAAAATTCCTTCACAAACTCTGCTTTCAGCTACTTTCCATCTATCTTTTACGTTCCTCACTATATGCTGCAAATTGGAAAGACCTGCCCAGGAGTGTTAGACTTTTGCATTTATGTTAAAAAATGAGCAGATCTTTTCCTAGTAGTGATCAGTATGAGCCTGTTTATTTTATTGGAACCATGCTTGTTTTGCTTCTAAGCAAGACACACCTTAGATCAAGGAGAACAAGCAACACTTCAGGGATAGTTGTGTTGCTTCCATCCAGAGATTTTTAAAAGAGTGCCTCAGGTCTGCGAAATAATATGGCATGCAAATGGCATTCACTGACTTGCCATGTGAAGTTCTCACAACATTTTAGTCCTTCCTTTCAAGCTTCAGAGTGTCTTCTGTTAAGAAGAAGACAATCAGATTTCAGGGTCTTTGGAGATGAGTGAAAGGCTCTCTGACAGTTCCATATGGTTTAGGGTAATTTGCTAAAACAGAATGACAACCACAGGGAAAGACCTGAGGATATGCTTACACATAGAGCTTACTACTCTGAGGAGAGCATCAGTGAAATACAAAACATAGGTGTGCATTATGCAGACAGTTAGACTGGAGATTTGCATCCATCTTGAATTTCTTTTGCACCAAATTGTATTTTGCTATAACTAAAACAAAGTGGATTGGCTTGTGTTGATGCAGGCAGAAGCCATTACAAACTCTTCTCATTGAGAGAAAAGTCAGAAGTTATCCAAATACGCATTTCTTGATGCATAAAGCAATATGAGTCAGGAAAAGCTGCACTCCCAGTGCATTGTGCACAACTGGGAGTCACCATTAGTCTGTCATTAAGCATTTGCTGCAGCTGCTGAACAGCAAAAGAAACGTTTTGCTGATGCAGTTGGATAAATACAAGTAGGTGTCTTCATTTCAAACCCTGACATACCCCTGAAATTGGAAGGAATCTTTATGGGGAATATGCTAGCTGGGGATTCTCAGAAGCAGAAGTGTTTTCAAAGAGTTTAGGACAAATAGGAACGACTGAGAAGTAGCTTTCCTGTATGTATACATGTGCAAGAACTCCCTCAGTAAAATTAGTGCTGTGCATTTCAGAGTGGCATTTCAGAAAGTAAAACCAAACTGGGATGTCAGCAGGCATCCACTGTTTATTAGGAGTTTGCTACATTTCTATGCATATTCATGCTAACTGAATTTACATCTGTCTTGCAAAATAGAAAGGACATTGCAGAAGGCAGTGAGATGATTAATCATTTCAAACTCAAAATTTATAGCAGGTAATATGGAATCAATATAAATAAAAGGACAGACCAACACCATGCATAATATGATACATGTGCACGACTGGTTGATTCAGCCCCAGAAAAGCTTAGGAGAGGTCTGGGAAACTGTGCGTGCAGCTACTACTCACGTGTGGATCCTCCTAATCCGCTTCTTAGCTGTAACATGCCCACCACTGTGCTATCTGTTTACACACATCAGGCTCCAACACATACATGCATTGACCTGCTCGATCTGAATTACAGTCTAAACCTACTTGCCCAACTGACCTTACATCTATGTGACTTGTTTGTGGAACTTCTTAAGATGGCAAATATATATGTATATAAATCCATGAGGTACTGTCCTCCCAGTGTGTTTTGGTAACATTTTTTTTTCAACAGAATCTCTCTTCAAAAGAATTAGGAACATATCAGATGTGTACATTTTACACATTTCAAGACCATTCTCTTGCAGCTTGCCCTCAGAGACCTCCATCCCCAACAGTAAAAGACTCCAGACTTCCAAGAATTGTAATTATAAACAAATCAAAAGAGTACTTAAGGCATTTTGAATGAGACTAGATCTTTACCAGAAGCCTCATTTTTTCATTTCATATATGCCAGGCTTACTCTATGGCCAGTAGAAAATTAGTACCTAGGACCATGTCTCATTTTTTCATTTGTAGAACCCCCCAAACCATGCAGGTACTTTCTCAGAGACTCCAGCAGTTGTGACCAATGTATTAATCTCTGCAGAGGTGGTATATGGGAACTGTTGAATCAGCCTGAACCACTGATTGAGCACCTGGGGAAAGCACCGGGACAGCCCTGGGAGCACAGGTGAAGGCAATTCAGCTGCATGACCATAAGGGTTGGAGCCTGGCTGTATCTCTCTTAGACCTCATTTAAGGGCTGACTGCCACTGGGGAAGGATCTCTGGTTAGAGATCTCTCCTTTGTGGAGTCGTTTCTGTGAGCCTAGGCCTTTGGAGATGGGTAAACACCTTTACTTTTCCTACAAAATACTATCCTACTGTGCTGGTCCCTTTGCTGTTACATTCCTGTATCGCCCTTCCGCCATGTTAATCTTTCCAATTGTAATAGGTGGCAAGATGAATATTTCACCTGAAGGAAATCCTCAGAAGTCTTTAGCACCTCTAACAGAGAAGGATTTGAGACAGCATCAGACACTGAATTATACTGGTAAATATACATGACTCTTGTCTGTCATCACTTAGGCTTCTGGATTTATAACAATTTAAGTTGTCAGATTTTAAAAAAGATTTTAAACTTAAAGGTGTTCCCTTGCTGGTAGTTTGATTGTTCAACCTTTCTATTGGAAAATCTGTTTAACTCCTGAATGTCTTTCTTCGTTGTGCAATATTGTACAATTTGTTTGCTTCCTGACCCCTCTGTGTTAAAATATAACTTTGGTGCCAAATTTTCAAGTTGCACAGATCTGTTTTATATTCAGAGTACAGTAATCTCTGTATACATCGAGGCTTAAAATCCCTTTGTCATTTAAAGAATAGTAAAATCATAGACTCATTAAAGTTGCAAAGGACCTCTGAAAGCTGTCAAATCCAACTCCCTTGCAATGAACAGGGACACCACAGCTAGATCAGGTTACCCAGGGCCTGATTCAGCCTCGCCTTAAAAGTCTCCAGGCATTCTCTTTTCTTTGCCTCTGTACAGCCCTTTTCCATTCTTACTATCATGCTCAACAAAGAATAAACATGAGCCATGGCATGTAATTACTCTTATCAGGGTTAAGCCAAGTATTATGAAAGTCATCTCTACAAGCTGATATTTCTCATACAAGGTCTGATTCCAGGAGCAAATTCTTGATGTGTTTTTAAACATGCAGTATAAACTTGTTTTAATAAAAAAAATGCGACAACAAAATCTAATAAAATACACCAGATTTCTTGTTGCATTTCCACTTAACTTGATCTTAAATCTAAAAGAAAAGCTGGAATATAAAAGCCCACTGAAATGACCTTGCATCATAAAGTAAAATTTTTCAGGTACTGCAATTGCTTTTGAAACCAACCAAGCATTATAGAAATCACAATATTAAACTTCACTTGTCAGCAATTCATATTTTTTAATAAGCTGTTTATAAACCATATTATAAAGCTGCTGAATTTTGTCTTTTGACGTCAAATCTATTAGGATGCATCTCATTGCCTCTGTCCTCAGCTCCTCTAATTTACATTAGCACCAATGAACACCATGGGTTCTCTTTTAATTTACATCAGCATCACTGAGCTTATGACTTGGGCAAAGAAGAAAATAATTGTATTCTAACAGAAATTCAATAACTGGAAATATTATCCAACAGAAGTTGATGTAATCTGTTGCTTGATCAGTCTCTGGCAAATAAGTGATGGTAATTTTTTTTTTTTAAACTGAAGTTCAGTGATTTCTCCTGGTTGGTACAAACATGTTGTCCCATGCAGATATGGTGTTACTTGCCAGTAAAGACAGTCCAAGTCTGGATGAAGATAAAACCAAGGCTACTTACGATGCCTGAGTGATAACATTAAGAGTATTAACACCTGCTCAGTCCTCTGCTCTGGTCTCCAGGAAAAGGAAAGAGAAATGGTCACTCTCAGCCTGTGTGCTTTGAGGAAAGAAGGCTAGGTCCTTCTTTTTTTTACTCACATATTGGGGTATGAGGCCAGAAAGCCTGGCAGCCCTGTATGATGTTCAGACTTTTCTGCGTGCTCTTGGGTGATGCTATGCTTTTTCAGTTTTATAGAGAGGGTCTGTTATGAAGTCTGTCTTAAGGGCAAAATGCCTCTTGAAGCAGAGCCATTTCACAACATACAGATAAATAAACAGTGAGTAAGAAATTAATGATCTGGATAAAGCTATGGTTGATTTGATTGATTGTTGTATATTTTCCCAGGGAAGAAGAGAACAAATGCGTCACTCACATCCCCATCATCCATGAAGTTGGATAAATCTTTCATCCTATTCGTATGTAAGAGAACCTCAATAAACTGCATTATCTCCTTAAATCAAAGCAACTTTTAACTCTTAAATCAAATGCTGCCTTCTCAGTGCATGGTACATGTGCTGGCCAAGGTCACCCAGACATTCCCATCTATTTGCCTGTTGTTATTTGGCTCCATGTTCAGGCCCCTAGAGAGGTGAATGTGTGTCATTCTGTTCATCAGGAAAATTACCTCAGCATGGTGTATTGGCAGGAATCCAAGGATACAGTAGATTAAAAGTGCTTGATCAAAGTTGGAACAAGTCTCATTTCTATCTGGGGACTTCCTTCTGAGAAAATTGTACATCAAGATATTTTGTTTTTATAAATTGTTTTTATACACAGTGATTCAAGAGCAGTTATTGATTATGAAAGTAAGGTAGCAACCTAGTAATAAAATCAGAGAAGAAAAATATACTGTGTTGAGGAACTAAAGCATAGTTTCAAATTTCAGTAGTAACATTACCAGCTATGGACCACTCCTGTTTGTTCTATGGCATGTTTCTGGTCCTACCTCAGGACCAAAATGGGATGCACCTTGGTGCCTGCCTTGCTCTCCCTCACATGAAAAGGTGTTGACCTTCGTGATCTTATTGCCTTGCACTCCCTAAATCATGAGAGAGAAATGATAACTTCTTTGGCAGTGCAGAGCTTGAGTAGACCTCACTGATCTCTCAGGGTATTTATTTTTGTTCATCAGATTTAAAGTTGATTAATCCTGTAATTCTAGCATCTCTTTTAAATATCTAGAGCTTACCAGGATGCTCTATGTACATTGAAAATCCCACATAAACTTAGATCTTTCTGGAGATTAGGCCTGCATCCATCTTGTCAGTCCTATGTGAGCCAGCATGTGATAATTCACTGTTCATATCAGTCAATGTGCATCAACTGCACCACAAAGAAGCCTGGAAAGATATCTGATTGTATTTTGGATGCTTGCCAGCTCCACGGATGTCAGAGGCTCTCAGAGCAGCTCAGACCCACATGGCAGTGTCCCACAGTCCCACTGGTTATGATGGTCCTATGCATCCCAGCACCACCTCTTTGCTGCTCTCTGACTGAGTTGAAGGGTTTCTCCACACTTTATGCTTCTTGAAGGCTGTGGCAAGATGAGTCTCTAGGTCATGGTGGATCCTAGCATGGCCTAACGATGTCTCGTGGTTTAATTTGACTAAATGGGAACTTCTTAAATCTATTACACTTCTGTTCTTGTTTGAGGTCACCACGTGAGTGAATGCCTGTACTGGGAGGGGTTAGATTTGGGTAGATTTTGGTCAGCTTTAAGAAAAGGTCATTGTACACCAACTTGGCTCTTTGCAAGTCCAAGGGAGTTTGCCATGCGATTTTTCTGACTTGAAAGCCAGCCTTCTTGGTAGGCTCCCAGTGAGATACTGAACAGCAGTACAAACATGTTTCAGAAGGCTGTTTCTAAAGAATGAGCTCAAAGCCGATGGTGTCACAGCAGAGCTTACTGCCAAGAGGCAAGAAATGAAAGAGAGGGTGCTGTGTCCCAGCGGAGAATAGAGCTGGCCGCCAAGCACCAAGATGTGAACATCTTTTCCCACTCTGTGCTAGGAGAGGAGCTCCAGTATCAGAGTTTGGTCCTGGTTTGGACCCTGAGTGTTCTCTCTTTTTGTTTCTTTCTCACAAGTACACACTCTGAATGCAGCAGTATGAGTGACTTTCATATTTTACCATGATCAGTCACTGCTGCAGCCTCCACAGGCTGAAGCTTATGTCTTTTCCTGTACTGCAAAGTGCTTTTACTGGGTTCAGCTGTGACCCTGGGGACAGTCCTCACATGAGCCTCTCCCCCTTTGCTCCATTTTCAATGTAGGCATGTCAGTTGTTTCGGACTTGGTCATTTGCTGAAAGCTAATAAGACTCTCCAGGATATTAGATAATCTGGCAACACTTCACCCAAGTCCCTGAACACGGTGCCTTTTTCACCTTTTAAATGGATGATTTCATTTCTCTTGTGCCAGATCAGAAACTGAGCTTTTAAGTTTGAGAAATTTTTTAAGAATGGTGACGTGAAGAGAAGACAAGCAATCCAAAGTACCAGACAGAAGTAGAATTGAATGAAATGATAGAGGGAGAGAGGAATAAACTATAATACAGCTTGAAAAATTGCTCAGCCTGAGCAGTGCTGGACATATGGAGTTGCAGAGCTTGCAGCGCCCAGAAGACCTTCAGTGCCTGTGGACTGTGATGTAGGCACCTCCAGTCTTGGAGGGCAGTCAGAAGGGTGTACCTGGCAATGATGGTGCACAAAGGAACCGTTGGTGGCACACGTTGTCCCTAGCCCCAGCTACCATCTAGTAAGAAGAGAGAGACATTGGACAATAAATACATCATCCAGGGTCTCTCACTTCTTACTAGAAACTTTCTTCTAACTGTTTCATGGCCCTTTATTTCTTTTGCTGCCAACTCTGCTGTTTAGATTAACTGGCTCTTTTTTCTCCCTGGTGCTATTCTCTTGCTTTATTTATAGAAAGCAGTGGTATCCACCCTGGGACATGTTCTTACTAGCACTAAGCCAAATTCCCCTTGTCCCAGAGGAGATCTTAGTTTGCCCGCTCTGCTCAGCTCTCTCTGCCTGCACCTGTCTGGTTCAAGTTGGCCTTTCCTGAGCATTACATACAATATCTGGGAGCAGATCTCATTAGTGTCTAGTACCACAGGACATTAATACTTACCATTATGAAGTATTATGATTATTATCATAGCAATTATTTCAGGAGGCCATTCGGAAACTGAATTGTGTAGCTTCATGGTGTGAGCTAGGAGCACTTGCTTCTCTAGTCAACATCATTGCAAGAGACAAGGATACTTGTAGCACTACAGCTATACTTGGAAGCACTAAGTCAGGACTGCATTATGTAGCTGCCAGGCACTGCAGCAGTGTTTTTGCGATGTCTGCTCAGGAATTGATTTAGGCCAAGATAACATTAAGTTGCTGAAGGGATTCACAAAATATTTGTTTAATTTCTACCTTGCTGTTCTTGTCGCTATTGAAAGCTCTTGCACAGAGCTCTTTGATCTGCAAACTCCAACCATGTAAATTGGTCAGAAGAGATGCTGTGCATGAGGAGGATGCAGTGAGCTTGGATGGCTCTACCACACCACCACTGCAAGCAAAGTAGTTATGAGCACCCTGGGCATCCTGATCCTGTTCTTCCCATTTCTGTCATTGGTTGGTTCTCCTAGCTCTATACAGCCCTACAGCATTTGGATAGAGTCAACCCTGAGAATCTACACAGACAAGCCAGAGCCCACTGACCTTTCTTAGGACTTTTCTCAGAATACACGGAAACATCCTTGGCTCTCAGGTTTTGGATACTTGTCTCCTCTCCTTCCAGACAGCTGTGACTTGCCCTAAAGTGTTTTCGGGGCATATGCTTGCATCAGAGCAGTATGGTGGGAGACATCTCCAAATCTGTGCATCTTCCATTTTGTGATTTATTTATCAGAGAATTAGAGTTGCAATAGAAGAGGCTCCATACTGTTTTATAGCACAGTATTTTTCAACAAATTTGTTGTGACCCCTATAGCACCATGCAAGGCAACCAAGAGGGCTGTGATATGTTGAAATATTTATTACACCATAAAATAAACTAAGTTCTGCTCCTTGGCCCTCCCCAACATGTCTAAGGTCAGCTATGCTCTGTCAGCTTCTCCAAACAAGCGAGTTGACCCAACAAGCTTTGATACTTTCTTCTCTTGCTTTTTAACAAACATACTAGGGTCAAAGGAATATTTGTGTTAGCAAGAGGGGGTCCACCATGCAGTGAATGCTGTAAAACTTTTTGTGCATTTGCTGTAGCTTGACCCATCTGCTTTCTAGTACTGTATTTTAACATTTAGGTGAAAATTCATAGATACGTTATTTACATATATGTAAAATATGACCTAGTATTTTCAAACTCTTTAATCCTGCTGGGTTGCATACAACTTAAAGAAGATTCATTAAATGCACCTTCTTAAATATATCCTAAATCCTACGTGAATCCTTTTATTCATTCCAAGTTTTGCATATTTTATTCCGGTTTCAGTCTGAAGTGATAATTCTGCACCACAGTGTTTACCACTAACAGTTATTTAACACCTAGTCAGGTGTTAAGCCTATAAATAGTTTAGCTATTGGCAACATTTAGACCTTGAGCCATGAAAAGTCACTGGCTTTCTTTCACAATGAGATCAAATCTATTTGAAGGAATAGCCTGTTCCAAGGACACAGTAGTCCCTATACCAGCTCCCTTTTCCTTCCTCCCTCCTTCCCTTCCTTCCTTCCTTTTTTTAAACAGATTCTCTTTAAAATCCATTTACATAATTGGTGTGAAATATCACACTAGATTAATTTCCTTGTTGGATCACTGCAGACAGTCTCCATTAATTCTCCATTCACTACTTTAAAGTAACAACAAATACCTTAATAGGTGAAGAGTTTCCTCTTTTCCATTTTTGTCACTCTGTTTGCTAGAAATTAGATTCCCTGAGATCAGAAGCTTAAAGCCCTCAACAGCAGAGGTATGAAGTCCAATGTATTTCCTTAACTAAACCCCGAAATGCAGTCACTTCAGCCACCTTATTTTCTTACCTCTCTTTGAGAAGAATGAAGTTGTTTCCTATTGTGAGAGCTCTTCCAGCAGAAGCGCTTTACATAACCTCAGACTAACTGGTGGTTTGGACTTAGCAGACTGGGCAGCAATCTCCACTGTTCAGGCAGGGGCTGCGGGGAAGAGAACAGTGGGTATTTTATTTTTCTTTTTTCTGAGCAGCCTGTTATAATCCTCTTCAAAGCTGCAGGGAAAGATCTTGAAAATGCAAAGTTCCCACATTTAAAAACTGGCAATTGCAAAGCAGTACCAATTTCTATTTTCAGAATTTGTGATTGACCTCAAGATGTGGTAGAGGGGAGAGCTGAGTACTGGCTTCTGAGTGTTCCTAGCTGGTTATCTTGAAGCAATTCCCACTGCTAGACATTCCCCAGCAGTGAGATTAGATTGCTATGCAGATACCCTGGTCCTTTATGTGTATTGCAAGGTGCAGGCTCATGCAGAGAAAGCACAGTAAAGTATAGGTGATACATGGTAGGTTGTACCTATACTCAGTTTGTTGTCCATTTCCCTCGTGTCTTTCTATCTTTCTAATCTGTCTACTGATTACCTGGAATATGGTGAGGCTTCATGGCAAGAGCTGTCGTTGGGAAGCAAGATGCTCTCTCAGCTACAAGCCAGAACCTGATAAAGAATGTAGCCATCCTGTCAGATGATTACAAAAAAA